GGGGTGCTCCTGGAGATCGAGGACCTGCAGAGCAGCCAGTGAGTGCCTCAAAGCAGGGGGCAGGCTTAGAGATGCATAGGGAGGGGGCTGGAGGTGGAGTCCGGGGGCGGGAGGGCACAAGGCTTTGGCTCACTGAAGAGAGGAGCAACATCTTTTGCCTTGGGGGCCCCTGTTTCTATCCTAAGTGGAGGAGGAGCTGTGTTCCATTGTGCAATGTTGTGCTCACACTTTGCTTTCAACCTTCTTCACGTTAGATAATATCCGTTTGTTCTCTTCCTCAACTCTGCAGGTTTAAAAACGTTATATTTGAAATTGCTCCAACAGAAGAAGTGGGGGACTTTGAGGTCAAAGCAAAGTTTATGGGAGTTCAGATGGAAACATTCATGCTGCATTATCAGGTAGGAAGAACTCTTCCCCCCCATTTTACCCCATCCGTTTTCCTCTAAAAAGCTTGGGTGGTGTGTGTTGCTTTGGTCCCTTTGTTGCAGAGTTGCCTGAATGACACTTCAAGGCCAGATTTGGCCAAAAGAAGTACGTATCAGGACTGAAGTCAAACCTTTGGAAATTCAGTTAACAAATTCATTGAAAGGTGTTGCAGCAAGAGCTCCCTTCTCTTTGAGGATGTTTGTGGAAGTAGTTGCCTCCCTTTTGGAGCAGCAAAGATGGCTTCATGAAAAGCTGTCAGACAGAGAACCTGCTTTGATTCTGGGCTCCAGATGTTACTGAATTTATTTTAGAGAAGCTAGAATGAGGTGGATTTGGTATGAGCTCTAGATGAGCTCTGCTTGCATCTTTACGTGTTGAGATTTGCTTTTATTTTATGGATGCCCTTTTCGCTGCATCTCACTACATTTAGTTAAAATGTGTTTCAAATACGTTTTCATAAATAGGTTAATTCTGTAATGTGTGGTAGAGTTGGATGTCATGGCACTGCATTTCAGTGATAGTGTTTGGTGCTCTTTCTTCATCTTACTAAATGTGTCAGTGTTCATTTGGTCCACGTTTATTTATTTATGTATTTACATGCCACACCCCTTTTCCCCAAGAGAAGCTGGCTTGGTCTTGAATATCATCCCGGTTCCAAGTTCCAATTAATTTGTGAAAAGATAACCTTGCGGACTTTAACTTGGCAGGCCTTTTGTATTAGAACGTACCAGATTTCTTTGAGTCTAATCCTCCATCGAATCTAATGTGCACTTCAATTTTAAAAACCCTGAAACCAAAACAAGTATTTCCTGCTGAATGTCTTTACCAATAATATAATATAGTATATTGTATATACATATATTTATAATATTATAGTGTAATACAATATAATACTAGTAATAATAATAATAATATAATAATTATAATTATATATTTACATTACATGTATTACTAATAATATTACAATATAATGGTATAGTGCAATATAGTAATACATAATACTGATATTGTACTATGCTAATAATATATTGAATGAAAATATATCTTGTAAGCCACTTTGAGTCCCCTTCGGGGTTAGAAGGGCGGCATATAAATGCCATAAATAAATAAATAATGTAATGTGCAAAAAGCTGCCAAAAGGGCACCCTTTGTTATTTGGCCATTAAATTGGCTGTCTGCTTATTCATTCATTCATTCATTCATTCATTCATTCATTCATTTATGACAGTTATATGCTGCCCTTCTCACCCCGAAGGGGACTCAGAGTGGTTTACAAGTAATATACAATAAATAAAATAAATACAATATCTTCCTGGTCCCAGAGCAGCATTTGGTGTTGGGGGGAGGGGCTCCCAACTGATGACACTGAAGACAAGATGGCACGGTCTTCTTGGCCCCTCTCTTTACTCTATTAGAATTCCTTCTTGATAAACAAAAGTGTTCGAATACCAAAGCTTCCAACAATGGTAAGGAAAACCTTGGGGTGCATCTATGGTGTATAATAGAAGGCCTTGAGCCTTCTATGCCAAAGGATGTGGGTGCCTCACCAAAGTGCAAATCCCAGGAAGCCATAGCATTGAGTCCTGGCCATTAAATTATAGGATCTCCATTCTACACCCGAAGCAGCTTCCCCTTTGGCTCAGCATTAAGATTACTTCATTGTGACAGGAATCTAATGCACACCCTAATTTTTGCAAAGTAATTTAGCCAGAAAAGGTGAGCATTAGATTTGAGTGGATGAGGTATTTTGTAGGAGAATGTTTTGTTCTTTGTTTCAAATCCCCACTTCTGCTTTCAAGCTATGGAATTGTGGCGCCTTCTTCCAGAAGCCTGAGGTGAGGGCCATGGCTACCTGCATGGGCTGCACTGGTCTCTGCTCTTGGAGGACTGGCCCCTCACTGAGATAGATCCCCTCTCTCTTACTCTCTCTGTAGGACCTGCTGCAGCTCCAGTACGAGGGAGTGGCTGTCATGAAGCTCTTTGACCGGGCTAAAGTGAACGTCAACCTCCTTATCTTCCTGCTCAACAAAAAGTTCTACGGGAAGTGAGCTCCTCTGCCGCTGCCTTTCGCTGCTGCTGCTGCTTCTTCCTCCAGGAGAGCCTCCTTCCCTTCCGCCTCCTCCTTCCCCGAGAAGCCAAAGCCAAATCCTCTCCTCCTGATGCTGATGCTGCAGATCAGGCCTTTCACAGCAAGGCCTGTCTGTATCGTTTCTCATGTACTCCGCCCATGGCACTCACTCCAGATTAAACAGTTATTATTCATTTCTCTCTCTCTCTCTCATCAAGTGTGTGTCTTTGGGCTGCTTTGCTCTTCAAGGCAGGCAGGCAGGCAGGCAGGCAGGCAGGCAGGCAGGGTTCCTACTTGCTTTTGCTGCCTGTGGGGCTTTCCTTAACTGCCAGACCCTTGAAACCCACTGCATGGCATTGAGCAGGTCACACGCTCTCAGCTCCAGAGGGAAAGGGCAAAGTTGGCCTAGAGGGACCTGGTTTTCCTCAGTGAGCCCCATCATCTGCAATGCTTGCAGTGTTTACCATTTTTATCATTACAGTTATAATAAAATAATAAATCTTTATTTATATCCTGCTTTTCTCCCTAACGGGACCCAATTATTGTGCAGACTTATCAATTAAATATTTCGCTCAGTGCAAATCAGCCTTGCTGTCATTCTAGTGAAGGCAGTCAGCGATGTCATCAGTGATAAAAATGAGCCAGTGAGAAAAAAAAATCCTCTGAAAAACAACAAAAGTCCCCACTAAAGCCCAGAAGGAACAGTCAAAAGTAGAGTGTCAGCACAGAAGTCAATGGCCCCAATCTAAGCCAAGATCAGTTGCAGGACTACGTTTATGGTCAAAGGGAGGCTGGTTGGTAAAATTTCCCAGTGCTGTCATCCTATAAGGTATCAGTACCTTGAAGTACCTTCAGGTTAGCTAGCAGCGAGGTCGATGCTGGGCAGTGGGAGGGAAGGCCGAGTGGAGTATAGCTCAGGGGAGCTGCCAATCGAATTGCAACACTTGCTTTCGCCAGTGGTCAGCTCTGTGAGAACATAGGCGCCTCAATGGAATTAGGCCCTCAGTAGTCAGCTGGACAGTCAATGGAAAATACCACCCTGGAGCAGTTAAAGATGGTGGGAGGGCCTCTCAGCTGCTGCTGGAGAGTGCCTGCTTGGTAGGCTGGCTCCCTCCCACTCAGCTACAGGTCAGGTAGTTTTATTTAGTTTTTCTTTCTTTGGTCTTGGTTACAAATACTGTTACAAATTCACATATATATCTCAGTTAATATATATCAAACTGTTAATTTTTTTTTTTGCAATATATTGTATAATGTTACACACGCACACATATATATATACTTACTACAACCCCTCAGGTGATCCCAGGCATAGTCTCAGCCAGACAAGGCCAGAACTTCCCCCATTGGCTAGAGGACATCCTGCCTCCATTCAGTTCCTCGTGGGACGTGATGTCCTTACAAGCTGTATTGCCAATCGTGTTTGGCTGGAACTTCCACAGGGTTTTTTCATCTGGGACAGACCTCCCCAAAGCAAGTCGGACCTTGAGCAGGGCATGGTCCAACCAAGGGCTGACTGTCAGTGTCTTTAATTCTGCAGGATTCTGATCCTATCCAATCTACTAGCCCTATATTTTTAATACCAAGTGAACCCACCTCCCTGAGATCCAACTATATAAATAAAAATGTAATGTTAGCTTGTGGGATTCACATAATTGAAAAACCACTGGATGAATTGACACAAAATTTGGGCACTACACCCTTAATGGACCAATGAGTGACCATCACTCATACCCTCCCGCCCAAAAAAACAAAAACAGCGGAAAGGATTTAAAACCCAAAAAAGCTAAAGGGCAATACAGTGCATATTTCCAATTTCCTATTCCTGGACTGCAACTCTCAGCAATCCTTCAGCTAGAGAAGATAGATTACATAGAGATACGTAGGTAGGTAGATGATCGATCAGGAGGACTGCTGGGAGTTGCAGTCCAAGAATAGGGAAGAAAAAAGGGAAGGAAAAAATGAGAGACGGGGAGGGAAGGTTGGCCACAGCAACGTGTGGCGGGTACAGCTAGTAATGGTCTAAAAATGCTTTTTTACAAGGAAGGGGGACAAAATCCAATTGATTGATGACTTCCAAGGCATTGTGTTTGAAATTGCAGTCTGAGAGGAAGCTCTCAAGTCTCTTCTCAGGGGTTACTGGGCTTGGCTTTTTCCAACACTGTGGTCTTTCTCAACATAAGAGGAATCATCCATTAATTTGCTCTGTTATTAAAGTCCCTGATGATCAATAAGCATCTCTGAGTGGAACGGTATCCTTTCTGGTGGACCTGAAATTTCCAATTTTGTGATGCTAAAACGGGGATGTATAAACCACAAACACAAAAAGCCCCTTTTCTCTTTCCCATCCTTTGAGAGCACTTGTATCCTGGTTGTGAAGTCACAGCCTTTGAAGGCAAAGTAGGATTAAAGTGGTCCTCTCCCTGAGAAATCTGAAGACTGCAAGCTTCCCAGAGTAAAGAAGCTTGCATGTGCTTGGGCTAAATTTCAAAAAGGTAGGAATATGTCGGATGCTAAAGAAATAGATTTTATTAAGCAAGTTTGAAATGGAAGGTGAGGAGACCTTCGGTCCGGAACAAGCCACACACCAACAATGCAACCTGTTTTACCCACAGTCATAAACATGTTTACCTAGAAGTAAGCACACACAGTCCAATATGGCTTACTCCGCGGTACGTGTGTACAGGACGGCAGTCTTGAGACGTGGTCAGTAAGCAAGAATACATACTTTCCTGTATAGAAAAGAGCCACCGAAAGGGAGAAGGCTGCAAATGTTATTTACAGTATGTTGTCTTACAAAGCAGATGAAACAGAACGAGGGCAGGGCAAGAACTGTCCCCAATCAGCTGTCTTATCTTCGGAGGTCCTCAGTGATGTGTCCACCATTTATAAGGACCGCGTCATTTGTTGCTGCTTGTTACAGGGAGTTTCTCAGTGTGTTGCATCTATCGCTCCACCTTTATGAGGAGCTGAACCCCAAAACCAAACTCAAATAGTCTTTTGATATGACCTCAAAGGATGACTGGATACATTTCCAAACCAGATGAGTGTGTGGCTCAGCCAGTTTGAAAGCTGTTGGCAGGAGACACCTGGGGTCTCAAAATCCAAAGCAGCGCCATTTTAAATGCTTATTCTCAGATCCATTATTATTATTAATAATAATAATAATAATAATAGGGTTGTTGTGAGTTTTCTGGGCTGTATGGCCATGTTCCAGAAGCATTCTCTCCTGACGTTTCACCTGCACCTACGGCAGGCATCCTCAGAGTTTGTGAGGTCTGTTGGAAACTAGGCAAGTGGGGTTTATATATCTGTCGAATGTCCACAACCTCTGGAATGTGGACAGTTTCAACAGAAAGGAGGAAAGCATGAAAATGTACAAAATCAGGCTACCAGTATTAAAAAAAAAACCTCTAAAATCAGGACAATAAATAAAGAGCAACTCTCAAAAAATAGGGAAATTCCAGACATGAATCAATCAGGGCCAGCTAACACCTCCCAACAAAGGATTCCCCCATGCAGGAAGCACCCAGGATTTAAAGTTGTAGTGCCTTCAATGCTAATCACAGTGGCCAATTGCAACATTCACACTTGCCTCCAGCAGGCAAGAGTCCTGAACGTTCCACAGATATATAAACTCCAATAGTTTCCAACAGACCTCACAACCTCCGAGGATGCCTAAATAGATGCAAGTGAAACGTCATGAGAGAATGCTTCTGGAACATGGCCATACAACCCAGAAAACTAACAGCAACCCAATGATTCTGGCCATGAAAGCCTTCACCAATATTAATATTATTTATTAATTTTTATCCCGCTTTTCTTCCACGGATGGGACTCAAAGCGGCAAACAAAGAGTAAAAAACAAAAACGATATGATACAAGAATAATGGATCGACTACCAATTGTCTTGCTCTGCCTTTGCTGGATATTAATCTATTGTGACGAAAAAAACCCAAAAATTGGATCAGGGAAACATGCCATTTCAAGCAGGTTTTCTCCCCTGCAGAGCCCAAGGCACTTTGGCAGGGAGTTTGGTCCTAAACTCTTACGCGATAGACGTTCCCATTGCACACAAAAAAGAACCTGAGGGAACGCATGGATGACAATGCTTCGCTCTTAAAAAGAAAAATGAAGTCATCCTCAATGACGTGATTTCCTTTCTGCTTCTACCATTTTCTTCTTGCTGCTTTCATGGCACTTCCAGCTGCATTTACATTTTTTCCTTTCATATATCTCTGAGTCACTAAAGTACTAATCTACCCTCCATTAAGTCCCTGTGTCAAGCAACCCACAGACAGCCACAGCTATGGGGCCAGATTAATATCTGCCAGTGTCCAAAGAAGACACCGGCAGAAGTTAGCCTCATCCACCCGATGAAGGACCTCTGCGTCCGGGTCTCCATGAGCAGGTCCCGCCACCGTCTCCAGACAGAGGGTTGTAACCTGGGAATTGAGAGGAAAACGTCAGCAAAATAACCATTCAGGAAAATCAGGACGGTGTCTAACTGCTTTCTAACTGTTGTAAAATAAGATGTTAGGCTTTTAAATCTGAAAGACGGTACAAACTGCATAAATAAAGACTTCTTCCTGTCCCACCACTGGGAACTGCTATTATTATTATTATTATTACAATTATTATTACAATTATTATTATTATTATTATAGCCCCCCGGGTGGCGCAGTGGGTTAAACCCCTGTGCCGGCAGGACTGAAGACCAACAGATTGCAGGTTCGAATCTGGGGAGAGCGTGGATGAGCTCCCTCTATCAGCTCCAGCTCCTCATGCGGGGATATGAGAGAAGCCTCCCACAAGGACGGTAAAAACATCCTAGCTTCCCCTGGGCAACGTCCGTGCAGACAGCCAATTCTCTTACACCAGGAGTTTCTCAAGTCGCTCCTGACACGACAAAAATATTATTATTATTATTATTATTATTATTATTATTATGAGAAACACAACAAGATGAGTCCACAGCAAACAAGATCACTCTGCTGGCTGTTGTATTGGATCACACGTCGGCACTTCCCAAGTGTCTAGGACTGTGTGATGTATTGGCGAATAATGTGTGGAGATCCCAGGAAGGTGGCCTTTTGCAGCTGGCAGATGGTAATCTTGTCAGCGCCGATTGCGTTTAAGTGAAGACCAAGGTCTTTAGGTACTGCACCCAGTGTGCCTATCACCACTGGGACCACCTTTACTGGTTTGTGTTGTTATTATTATCATCATCATCATCATCATCATCATCATCATCATTCCATATAGATCTTTTCCCTTTGTCTCTAAATTTGAAGATTTTTGATGAGCAACTTTAAATAAATATTTGATACTCTAGGGCTTTAAATATTCAGTAAGTTCTTGGAAGTCCACTGAGTTACTGTGTCCATGGCTTAAATCAGTGGGTGGTGGCAGCTAGATCATCTTCAGGGATCCACTTTCTTGCTTTGGAGACGGAGTGGGCATTACAATCTTATACTGTATTTGCATTTTTAAAGCTTAAAAGCAGAGCAGAAAGCCATGGACCAATACACACACAAGGAAGGGATCTTCTTCGGGGAATATAACTTGAAGGGATGTGACTTGGCTAGCACCAAAGATAACATCATGCAGAATATCATAAAGAAACCAGAGTGCCCCTCAAAGAAACCCCCTCCCTTGTCACACAACACTAACAGCCCCCCAAATCTGGAACTTACCCCCCTCTCGTAAAGGTCTGCTTTTCGGTTTTGGCTTTGGCACACCGGTTGATGTTGAGGCCTCAGACTGAGGTTCCTAACATTGAGAAAGTGTTAGTCAATTCTGTTTTCTGCTCAAACACCTACAATAAAACATTCTTTTTCTGTTTCTGACTCAAAATACTAACCTGGTTCTGTCTGAGATTCTCCTTGTAACTTTTGCCTTCCTGCATACTTTCCCACATGGCTATCTTCTGCTTTCGTTTCTCCTCTTCAAGCTAAGAGGAAAACAGAGGTAGAAATTAAATAGTTTGACGTAATAGTTAAGCCAGACCTGCAAAAACTGGGTGATTTGAATTCAGCTCTCTAGGACAGTTCTCAAACTTTTTCAGCCACAGAGCCCTTTTTGAAGCAAAAATTCCTAGTGGAGTCCCAAGAAATATTTTCATATATATTATATATTATCCTATCCTATCCAATTTGTCGTTGAGCCACTCCTTTGGGCTTCACGCAAATCTACCATTTTCCAAAATACACATTCTTGTCAAATTATATATAATATTATATATAACATATATCTATCAGTCATGGGCAAACTATATATTATATATTAATATACACACACATATACACATATATATACATACACACATATCAGGCATGAGCAAACTTCTTGACCAACATAAACTTAGTAGTATTTCAGTGGAAGACCACAGGGGTCATCCAGTCCAATCCCTGTCTGCCACAGAGGAAAACCACAATCAAAGCACCCCCAATAGATGGGCATCCAGTCTTTGTAATAATAGTAGCAGTAATAGTAATAGGAGCAACCCCAGGGGCCACCCAGTTCAACTCCTTTCTGCCATGCAGGAAAAGCACAATCAAAGCACCCCCTGAGTGCTGAGAGGGAAATTGTTGAAGGAAGCAACCTTCTCAAGCCTCCTCTATATGATGTTTGTCTGTTTTATAATGTGTTGATTTATAACCTGAAGTATATGTCTTATTTGATTTGCAATTTCCTTATCTCTATATACCTAAAGTAGTGGGAGGGGCTGCAGATCACATGCCCGCCTCAGTGACAGTTTAGAATGTTCAGGTTTAAACAGGATGACAGTTAGGGAATGTTGGTTGAGGAATGACTGTTAGAGAAGTGTTGCTGTGCCTTGAATGAGCTTGAGTATAGAAATCTGTCAGAGTGCAGAAGCTTATGTTAGGAAGTTATTATTCTAACCCCAAGGGCTCCGTGGAGCACACTTTGAGACCCGCTGCTCTAGGAATTCATTTTTATTTATTTTATTTATTTACAGTATTTATATTTCACCCTTCTCACCCCGCAGGGGACTCAGGGCGGATTACAATGTACATGGCAAACATTCAATGCCATAGACACACAACATATATAGACAAACACTCAGAGGCTATTTAACATTCCAGCTTTTCATGAGGAAATTCTGGCCACTAGGGGAGCTGTTGCTTCACTGTACATTTGTGACACTGATGAAGTACTTCCTCATTCTTTGCATGCTTGCTGGAGATTTTTAGTCTCATAAATTAGTTAAATTAGCCTCCCCGCATAAGCAATACCTGAGTTTCTTACTTGACAGATGCAACTGTCAGTTGCAGGAGGTAAATCTACGGATATCTGCAGGTCAGATGCAAGTTTGGAATGTTTACCTTTTTCTGTTTTTCTTTGAATTTTTCTGCTTGTGCGTTCAGTTCTTCTTGCATTCTCAGACGGGCCGCAAGCAAAGCCTCTTGTTGTCTAACCACAGCATCAGGTTCTAATCAAACACAGAAGAGAGACAGCATTTCCAAGGAATCAAAGCAGCCCTTTATAAGCATTTGCCTGATCCTAACGTAAGCCAGCCCCACAGCAGCTTAATTTTATCAACACTGTTTCATATTAAAAATATAGAAAACTGCTCCCAATAATCCAAATTATTCTAGCACAGGATAATTGTTAATTAATACAAAAAACTCTCCTTGCCCCAAAAAGTGGGACAGAAATTGATATTCTGTTGTAATCCAGAACACAGTGAAAATATGGAGACTTCTCGGATCACAAAACAAATATGCTCCAAAAATGCAAAAGTGAGATGGGAACGTATGCTTGTATGCTGACCGGAAGGTGGCAAGTTTGAAGCCCTAGTCGGGTTTGAGCTCCTGACTGTTAATAGCACAGCTTACTGTTCACCTAAGCAGTTCGAAAACAGTTGAGCTTTGAGTGGGAAAACTAGGGACCACTTAAAGTGGGCAGTTAATTTATGACACTGGAGATCGAAGAGCAGGAAAGAAATACTACAATAAAAGGCTGGCGTCATAGTGGATGAAGCGACTACTATCCCTGCGGCTGGAATCAAGCAACCTCCAGTAGCTGAAGTTGAAAAAAATGCTGAATGACCTCTATCTATCTATATGTCTTGTATGTCTAAAAAACAGTATTGAATGTTTGCCGTGTATGTGTGCATTGTGATCCGCCCTGAGTTCCCTTTGGTTTGAGAAGGGCGGAATATAAATACTGTAAATAAATAAATACATTTTATATGATGCCAAAAACAAAATATCAGGAATTTACTGTGTTCTGGATTACAAGAGAAGTCCCATGTGTCCATGTAAAGTCTTTAAGAACACAACAGATTTACTTGGGGGGGGGGGGGGATATAAGATGACAAGAAAAACGTAGGAAGATGCTCTTTCATACAATTTCTTTGGGCCAATAGTCAGGCAACCTCAATGGAGTTCCCATGAATGATTGATTTCATTGGTTACGTGTATATCCAACTTGCTTTCAGTTAGCAAAATGCCATGTTCACATCTGTCTATATACAATACAGCATAAAATCGCCCACATTTTATAAGCAATGTTTTTTTAAATGTCTATTGCCTGTGTGAGCATTTTATGCAGAAATCTAGTTGCATGAAGTCTTGTAGGACATACTGAAATCACCCCAAGGTTAAAAGAAAATAAAGAGTGACCCTTTATTAAGGATGAACACCGCCTCCCCAGTCCCATACTGACCAATAGCTGTTGTATCCAAAGCGGGCTTGCTGGTGCCTTGAAACGTTTTGGAAAGTTTTTGTACAAGTAAATAAACAGCAATAAGACTGAAGAGGATGAACCAGCCATAGTCTGAGAGCAGTGAAACCACTGGAATAAAACACAAAGAGACAGAAGCATTAGGTGCTTAAGTCACACTGGTCCAGGTGTAGTTGAAGTTTGGATGGGAAACTGTGAAGCTCAAGTACTATTACAGTGGAAAGATGTGACATAAAGAAAACTATTAAGTAACAAAGTCTTGATTGTGGGTCTTGACAGGGAGATTGCACTGTTCAGATCAAATAATATTGCTGGAATTATGTAACTTCAAGATTATTATTATAATAATTATTAACGACATTTTACCCCGCCTTTCTTACCCATGGACATATAGCCCAAACCCTGCCAATGTCCTCCACAAACACCATACTGCTATCCAATGAAGTGAAAGCTTTCATGCATGGACAATTTCATCCTAGATGTTCTGTTTTGCCTTCACATCCCAGGGCTCCTTTCTCTCTCCATTGCTGTGAAATTTGCATGACCCCACCCACTGCCTCTTCCTTAACCCATTTCTATACTTTCCTATGACACACAACAAATAGAGGAATTGATCAACAACTGAAGAAGAGGTTTGGGGAGAATTCACCATGATTTACAGGAATTGTACTTGACCTACATCCAGAGAGCATTGTGACCCCCACAGACAATGGACCAGGACCAAACTGGGCACAGAGAAGCCCCATGATCAACTGAACATACATCAGGGGTTTGTGGGAATGGACCTTGATTTTGGAAGCTACAGTTCACCCACATCCAGAGAAACTGTTACCCCCAATGACAATGGACTGGGACCAAACTTGGCACAGAGAATCCCCATGACCAACCGAACATACTGCAGGGGTTTAGGGGAATGAACGCTGATTTTGGGAGTTGTAGTTCACCTGCATCCAGAAAGCACTGAACTCAACCGATATCAGATCTGGACCAAACTTCACATACAGACCCAACATGGCCAACTGTGCATACAGGCCTGGTTTGGGAGTGATTGACTTTGGATCTGGGAGTTATAGTTCATCCTTATCCAGAGAGCCCTGAATCCAGCCAATGACGCATCTGGATCAAGCTTGGCACACAGACCCAACATGGCCAACTGTGAATGCTGTCAAGGGTTTGGGGGTGCTGGGGTGGTGATTGCCCTGGGAATCGTAGTTCAGCCTTATCCAGAGAGCACAGAACCCAGCCAACAACAGATCTGGACCAAACTTTAGTGGCATTACCTAACATCCCGAAACAAACAATGCCTTCTTTTAATAACACAGGCACCTCCAGGATCCCAAGCTAGTGTGTGTATGTGTGTGTGTGTGTTAAGCTTAGGATAACACTGGGAATGAGTGACACCCATGCGGAGATTCCTTTGCTGTCTGTGCTCCTGTTCAGGAGATTTCAGCTCACTTTCTGTCCCTGTGATAATTGGATTTTGAAGAATTTGGCTTGTTGTAAAAACAAGGATTGGTGATACAGTTTCAATGGAGACCCCTTTTCTCCATGATAACTCCTCTTTCAGGAGCGGGTTTCCCTTCTGAGGGGTATATTTCTCCCCCTGTTGTCTCAGCCCTGTTCTTAACTAGGAGTCATTTGTAAGTCCCATGTTTACAACTTGGGGGCAGCCTGAACTGCTAGCCACACCTATTTCTTATTTTCCACCAACTGGTTATGAAAGGGAGTTTCATGGATTCTTGATAGCAATCCTATTCCTGCTCTCCTGAGAAGGAAAAACAGCTCATGTTTATTGGACAAGGACCTACATCAGTGTTTCTCAACCTCCCTAATGCCGTGACCCCTTAATACAGTTCCTTATGTTGTGGTGACCCCCAAACATACAATTATTTTTGTTGCTACTTCATATCTGTAATTTTGCTACTGTTATGAATCATAATGTAAATATCTGATGTGTAGGATGTATTTTCATTCACTGGACCAAATTTGGCACAAATACCAGATACGCCCAAATTTGAATACTGATGGGTTTGGGGAGGGATTGATTTTGTCATTTGGGAGTTGTGGTTGATGGCATGTATAATTCACCTACAAACAAAGAGCATTCTGAACTCCACCAATGATGGAATTGAACCAAACTTGGGAAACAGAACACCCATGTCCAACAGAAAATACTGGAAGGGTTTGGTGGGTATTGACCTTGAATTTTGGAGTTGTAGTTCACCTACATCCAGAGAGCACTGTGGAGTCAAACAATTATGGATCTGGACCAAACTTGGCACGTATGCTCAATATGCCCAAAATGTAAACACTGGTGGATTTTGAGGGAAATAGACCATCACATTTGGGCGTTGTGGTTGCTGGGATTTATAGTTCACCTACAATCAAAGAGCGTTCTGAACTCCACCAATGATAGAATTGGGACATACTTCCCACTCAGAACCCACATGACCAACAGAAAATACTATGTTTTCTGATGGTCACTGGCAACCCCTCTGACACCCCCCTCATGACCCCCCCAGAGGTCCTGAGCCCCAGGTTGAGAAACACTGACCTACATAGAATTTAATAGGTCATAGAACAGCGCTGATCCTTCAATGTAGATCAGGCATGGGCAAACCTCAGCCCTTCGGGTATTTTGGACTTCAATTCCTGGCTGTTAGGAATTGTGGGAGTTGAAGTCCAAAACACCTGGAGGGCAAAAGTTTGTCCATGCCTGATCTACACTGTAGTGATGCTTGATGCTTTTTAACTCCTGTCAGAACTGTAAACACAAGCAAAGACCTATCTTTCCCAGCTCATTTTAAACTATGGATTTCAAACGTCCATTCTCTTAGTACTGTATCTTAATGCAGAGATTATCAGCTTTCATATATGTATGATAATGCGTTTTAACTGAAAGGGAAAAGAAAGGGGTCTGAGGCTCTTAAGAATTGTGGGAGTTGCAGTCCAAAACACCTGGAGGGCCCAAGTTTGCCTCAGACCGAATCTTTCCCAAGGAAACACCACACAAGCTTCACCTTCAGAAGGCAAAAGGCTCTTAGGTGGTGTATTGTCGAAGGCTTTCATGGCCGGAATCACTGGGTTGTTGTAGGTTTTTTGGGGCTATAGGGCCATGTTCTGCGGATGCTTGCCATAGATGCAGGCGAAACGTCAGGAGAGAATGCCTCTAGAACATGGCCCTATAGCCCCAAAAAACCTACAACAACCCAGCTCTTAGGCACTACCTCAAATTCTTCAGAGAAGAAGGCTGCCTCGGGCTGGGCGCCTCACCGGTTTGCTGAAGGACTTGGGCGCCTTCCTGCTCCAACGGCGGCTGCGCCCCGCCTTCAGGCCTCATATCCGCCGCCATCTTGCCGGACTTACATCCGGGTCCTCCCGCTGCCGAGTCACGGCTTCTTCACCAGCGAATGAGAAAGCGGGACGTCAGAATTCGTTTCCTCGTCCAATGAGAGGGGTAGGTATCCTTGAACCAATCATGTGGCGAGGAAGGGAAAAGAAGGCGGGAAGTGAGGAAGCAGGACCAATCAGAAGAAAGGGAGGTATTTAAGATGACAAGGCTGAGTATTTAACAAGGGAGATTGTATGAGTAGGCGTCAATACCATAATGAGAATACCATAGTAGTGATTTTTATTTTTAAATATATATTAATAAGCTTGTTCCCTATCTGGATCCATAGGGAGAAGAAAAGGGAAATATAATAATAATAATTTAGGCATTAATAATAATAATAATAATAATAATAATAATAATAATGGACATGTGGACAATTTGAACAGAAAGGAAGAGACCATGAAAATAATATATATTATTTAAAAATATATATTAATAAGCTTGTTCCCTATCTGGATCCATAGGGAGAAGAAAAGGGAAATATAATAATAATAATAATTTAGGCATTAATAATAATAATAATAATAATAATAATAATAATAATGGACATGTGGACAATTTCAACAGAAAGGAAGAGACCATGAAAATGAACAAAATCTGGCTACCAGTATTAAAAAAACTCTAAAATTACAACAGCAAAACAGCAGAGAGGAAACAACCAGGCACATCTAATCACCTCTCAACAAAAGATTTTCCCAGGCTCAGCCAGGCCTTCAAATGCTAATGAAGGTGGTCAGTTGAAACATTCACACCTAGCTCCAGCAGAGAAGAGCTCTTTGCCCCACCCCAGCCATTCCACAGGTATATAAACCCATTGTCCTAATTCCAACAGACCTCACTACCTCTGAGGATGCTTGCCATAGATGCAGACGAAACGTCAGGAGACAATGCCTCTAGAATCACAAGCCTGAAAAAGTTACAGAGAACAAATACTCCAAACTCCTCTGGGACTTCCACATTCAGACAGAGTTTTGGAGCATAATACTCGTGACCACACAATCGAGTTATAAAACAAAGTATGGATCGTCAATATCGCAATCTCAGGTGACAGCAGGATTGCAGAGAAACAACCTGAAAAGCTGACATGACATGAGGATTTAAACATCGAACTGCAAAGACTCTGGCACAAACCAGTAAAGGTGGTCCCAGTGGTGATCGGCACACTGGGTGCCATGCCTTAAGACCTTGGCCTGCACTTAAACACAACTGGCGCTGACAAAATTACCATCTGTCAGCTGCAAAAGGCCACCTTACTGGGATCTGCACACATGATTTGCCGATACATCACACAATCCTAGACACTTGGGAAATGTCGGACGTGTGATCCAATTCAACAGCCAGCAAGCAGTGTCTGCTGTGGACTCATCTTGTTGTGTTTCAAATAATAATAATAATAATAATAATAATAATAATAATAATAATAATAACTTTATTTATACCCCAGCATCATCTCCCCAAGGGGACTCGGGGTGGCTTCCACGAGGCCAAGCCCAACAATACAGCAATGCAAAGAAACAACACACAACAACAATCTATATAAATAAAAATGTAATGTTCGTTTGTGGGATTAACAGAACTCAAAAACCACTGGATGAATTGACACCCAATTTGGACACAATACATCTATCAAGCCAATGAGTGACCATCACTCATAAAAACACTGAAAAACACAGCAGAAGACACTTAAAAGCCAAAAAACAAAAAATGCATTACAATGCATGCGTAAAACCACATATATACACAAACACACATATACACAAATATATACACACATATGCCTATGTACGCACATATACACAGACTGGGCCACAGCAACGCATGGCAAGGGATGGCTAGTAAGATAAAAGAAATAAAAATAAAATACAAGAAACAATATAAATAAGCACATCAAACAATGTAAAATCACAATAATTTAAACACAGAAAATAAATCACAGTGGGCAGGGCCAGTAGCAAGGATTAAAAGTTTAAAACACTGGGTGAGAAGGCAATGACGGTATCTGGACAGCAGAATCAGAGACGAAAATAGGGTTATAATATATAAATAGCACACACATCTCTTCTTCTGTCTCATCTGAAAGCCCTAAGGGACAGTAACATATTGATATTTTAAGAGGTATGAAAGATTTTATATTGATATTTTAAGATATTTGAAAAATCAGTATCTTAAAGAATTGGTAAATACCTCATTCATCCATCATTCACCAAAGCACAGTAGAAACAAAGTCTTCCTTGAACACTTAAGTTAAAACATATTGCAGCTTCCATTTGGTACAAAGCATTTTACATAGCTTCAGCTTAATATATGCATCTGTATATAAATTCATTCTGTCCAGTGAAGAACTAAGGTAAGCATTAGATCAGGGATGAGGATGGAGACCGGATCTCAGCTCCCATCATTCCTCACTAATGGACTGGGCAAAACATTAAACGTAAACATGAGAAGAGCTTAGCATCTGATACATTTCTGCTTTTATTGGAAATACCTTGACTTAAGTTTAATTTGTTCTGTGTCAAATCAAATTTCCCCATTAAAATCAATTTAAATGCTATTAATCCATTCCAGTCCCCCAAAAACCACACCAGCAAAAACATAATGTTTAGTCTTTACATAAATGGAAACTAGTATAAAATCTGTAGTGAGGAACTGGCTCCTTTCCTTCACCAGATGTTACACAGGCTAAGACTGATGGGAATTGGAGTCCAATAACGACAACTTTATTTGTAACCCGCCCTACCTCCCCAGGGGACTCAGGGCGGTTTCTGGAATATAAGTGGCAAACATTCAGTACCATACTGAACAACAAATCAAATCAAAAGAACAAATAAATAGCCTCAATATGAGCTTAAAACTTAAATGATTAATCAAATAGTTTAAACACAGAAACCTCATCATACACAATTACATCGTAAAAATCTAAATAATGAAAGTGCAATTAAAAGTATAAAATGATGAGTGATATTATATAAACATCACTATATATGATATACGACAGCCAAACAGCACCAAAGTGCACTTCCAGTGTTCAACGGGTTATATATTAAGATATTCTAATCCTGTATTGTCGAAGGCTTTCATGGCTGGAATCACTGGGTTGTTGTAGGTTTTTTGGGGTATATGGCCATGTTCTAGAAGCATTCTCTCCTGATGTTTTGCCTGCATCTATGGCAAGCATCCTCAGAGGTTGTGAGGTCAATAGAACTAACAAACTCTGAGATTGCTTGCCATAGATGCAGGCGAAACATCAGGAGAGAATGCTTCTAGAACATGGCCATATAGCCCGAAAAACCTACAACAACCCTGTTCTAATCCTCCTTCTCCCCATAGGCTAAGGTGCAAAGGGGAGGCTTTAAAAGCTTTTTAAAGGAGAGGAAAGAGGGGGCAATTTTTACCTCTTTGAGGAGGGAGTTCCAGAGGCAGGGTGGGGCAGGGTGACCATGGAGAGAGAATGCCCCCCCTCTCGTCCCAACCATGGGGTGGGACTGAAAGGAGAGCCTCCTCCATTGACCACAGTACCCGTGCTAGTTTATATGAAGAGATGCAGTTAATTAAATAGCCGGGGCCCGAACCGAACCAACAGCAGGTGGAGGGCCACAGCAATCTGGTCAATACTGCCACTCTATTGTAAAACTGATAAAGACAAGTGAACAGTGAGACATGGTACATTTGAACGTAAGATTGCACTAGAAGTAATTTCAAACAGACTAACTGTATAATGCATCTGAGAAAAATGTGTTTTATTTCACTTCAAAATGTACAGTATAAACTTTACAAACTACAGTTTACATACATTAATGGTGCTTTCAAACAAAACCTAAACAAAATCATTTCTTGGGCAGTAAATCAAAAGGCTCTGAAAAAAAGGCAAATGGTACAATAGGATTCTTTAGAAAATAAAGTAGAAAAATGCATATCAGGATCCATTGGCAATGGAATCTTCCTCCATCTCTTCCTCTGCCTCATCCGAAGGGCCTAAGGAACAGTAATATATTGATATTTTAATAGTACTAATTCAAGATATATGAAAAATCAGTATGTTAAAGAATCAGTAAATATATATATATTTTAAAAATCCCAAACAAGGGAGAATATGTTTATTGTTTATTTATCTATTTGCAATATGTATAGCACGCCTTTCTCAGCCATATGGCAACTCAAGGCGGGTTACAGATTGGCACTATTTGTTGTCAGGCATTCATAAAAGTGCCATTAAAACAATCAACATTACAATATAAAACATAAATAAAAACTGTTAAAGCATATAATCATCGGTGTCATCTAGGACTCATTTTAATCACATTAAGTTAATTTTGCAATTTCTGAGTTAGTTTGTTGCATCAAATTGCAGTTAATGATACATTACTAAACACTGTGGCTAGGAAAGCCCAATGTTAATTGCATTTAATTAACTGTTTAGTAATTAATTAAATGCAAAAGCTAGATGTCACTTTTTCAAATCTTAGAGCATCTAAAATATGCAACACACCTCTGTAAAGTATTCCCATGTGATGCATATTTCTGTGCTTACATCTCAATGAAGTGGTAAATCTGGATCCAAACCATTCTATTTCCCATATGAATTCACCCTCAAGTCGTCTCATTTCCACAAATGTCCTCTAGAACCACTGACAGGGCCACCCTGGTGCTATAGTCAGACATTGGCTAAAAACATGGCTCTCCCACAATAAAAATTATAAACTAAGGATGAACAAAAAAAGCCACCACAAGCCACTCCTTACCCGCTTTTCGGTCTCTACCAGGTATTTGCCCAGCTTGCAACAAGCCTTTGAGCCTCTCTACTTCAGCCAGAGTTGTGGCATTAGCAATGGCATTCTAAAAGGGGAAAACCCAAAGTTATGCAGTATCAAGATACAACTAACTGGATACATACTAACACAGAATCCATATTTAGATATCAACAATAATAAGTGATTTAACCAGATCGGCCTGCACTCTGAACAAAGAGGCAGAACATTAAATGTTACGTTGAGAGGAGCTTAGCATCTTTTACATGTTGGCATTCATTCCATGTTGGAAATAACATATTTTAACCTTCTCAGGGCTGTATTAAATGTGCTATTGCAATATTGAATGTTTGAACTAAAAAGCAACAGTTGCACCTATTCTTCCTATCATACACAATAACAGAAAAGAAAGATATGTTCAATACTACCTGTGACCGTGTAATAAAATTTGTGAGATTCTGGTAGCCAATGGCAATAAAAGCTTTTGGGAAAAATTTGTCATAAGCATTAGTTTTTCTCTGAGGGATTACTCTCATGAAGCAGTCTGATATTATTATTATTAATTTTTATCCCATCTTTTTCTCTAAAAAAGAGACTCAAAGTGGCTGACAGTAAAACTAATATAATTGAAATATCACCTTAATCGCTTCCACATCTCCTGGGGAAGGGCCAGTCTTCTTTTTGTCAGTTGGCAAACCAGCGCCTGGGTTGAAACTTCAGAAGAAAAAAGTGCATTGTTAAAAAGACAAAAAATTCACAATTTGCTTCTCAAGCTTCCAAAGAAGCTTTGATTCAATCGAGTGTAGTATCTTATCTTTGTTAACAAACTGATACAGTGAAGTAATGGCTCCTTCAGAAACACCATCAGGATCCTCTTCCCATTCTCTCACCCTTTTAGAGCCTCCCAAAGGAAAAGGCAATTTGGACATACATCCTCTCTAGATATTTACTGCCCTTCCTTCTCCCCAATTAAAATTTGATTTAATCAAAATTTTATTTAAGGACTTAATCTTCCTACAGTTTGCATTGCAGTAAGGGGCCCTTTGCATCCTCAGGTGTAATTGTCCACAGCTTGAAAATCTATATCCATCTCAAACCTCAACATTGCCATTTTATACAAGGGATATAATTGTATGACACCTTGGTATTTCATTGGATTTGAGCAACCATGGGTTTTGGCATCCATTATGAGTCCTGGGACCAAAACCACCGCAGATATTGAGGGCCACTGTATTTTACTTACAGGACTTGGCTTTTATCAACTTGGAAGTTAGGCATGGGCAAACTTCAGTCCCCCAGGTGTTTTGTACTTCCAACAACCACATTCCTAACACCCAAGGTGTTAGGAACGTGGGAGTTGAAGTTCTAAACATCTGGAGGGCTGAAGTTAGCCCATGACTGCATTGTTATTGCTGCGGTACACTTGGACCTCAATATCTCTGGATTTAACCAACCGATACTCAAAATAAATTTTATTTGCAAACCTATTTTATACACCAATATATTTGGGGTGGCATAAAATATCCTGGGAGGAAAGGGGTCGCAAGTTTAAAAAGTCCCGATCAAGAGGTGCAAAACTATGTATTCCCTTGGTGGAAGGATTGTCAATAGCCTGTGGTGTTTCTGAAGGGGGCTGCCAGTTGAAAGGGGTTACCCGTATCTTACGTTTTGGCTCTCCTGGCAATATCCTTTGCAAGCTGTGCACCCCGTTTGCCCTTGAACATTTTCTCTGCCTCCTGACGCTCCTACAGCGATACCACACACACAAAGTTAATCAGACAGCAGCAGGAACAACTAGACGGTGCATAGCTTTTTCCCCACAAAAGGAAAGGGCGCAACGAGCAGCAATTATCATGGAAAAATATGTCACCATTAAGACGCCTCGAAACTTCAAACTTCTAAAACCATTATTACTCCCAAGAAAGAGCTGTTTGTTGCTATGTGGCAAGAGAGCCCACTGACGTTTCCCCAGTTGCACAGAATTTCCCATAAGTTTTATGTACAAAAGGCTAAAATTAATCTATACTGTATAATTAATGTAGTTTGATACTACTTGAACTGCCATGACTAAATGCTATGGAATCCCGGGAGCTGTAGTTTTACAGGGTCTTTAACTTTCTTTGTCAAAAAATGCTGACTTGGTCTCATCAAGCTACAACTCCTATGATTCCAAAACACCCAGTCATGGCAATTAATGCAAATTAATCCTAAAAGTCTGGATGGACTCTAAATCACTAAATTACAAATGACAAACAAGAGAAACTAAAATTAATTCAGAAGGTTTTTCAATACAATCAGCAATGTTTTAATATGGTTATACATTCCATAAGCCTCTCAACAAAGAATGAGTATTTCAATGACCAGATTCTGAGAAGATAAAAGGAAACTTACTTTTAATTTCACTTTTTGGAAATCCAGCACTCTGACTTGTGGTGCCTTGTAAACTACATACAACCTATAATGCTTCTTATTGGTCACAGGATTCCTCAAAAGACTGCAGAAGGAGGAGGAAAGTGTCACCTACACAATCCATAGCTATACAACTTTTCCCCAATATTTAACTGGATTTAAGGCAGCATCTTATTAAAAGTTAGCATCTATGATCTTCATGAACATCAAAGCTAATGCAATGTATTACGGGAATAGAATGATAATACAACCGTTTCAGGTTTTATTTGTAAGCTGCCACCTATTGATCAAAATGCAATCTAAATAAAGCGTGTTACTATATGATGTAAAAAGACACACTGGTATTATTATTTTTATTACATTTATTATTTTACTCTATTATTATTACATTTACATTTTACTCTATTTTTATTATTTTTATTACATTTATTATTTTACTCTATATATTATTATTACATTTATTTTTGCTGTATCATTATTATTACAATTATTAATTTACTCTATTTATTGTTATTGGAAGGATATTTAAGCATACTTACAGTGAAGAAGGTTAGAATAAGGTTTTAATCAGAGTTGGACAGCCTTACCTTAAATTACAATTTTATGTAAATATTCAAAAACATTCAACCTACGGATGCCTCAATTAATGTGATTTTATTGGTATCTATATTTATTTGGAAATCTGCATTTGCCACCTCGGCTTATATTCGAGACAATATGTTTTCCTATATTTTTGTGGTAAAATTAGGTGCCTCGGCTTATATTTGGGTTGGCTTATACTCAAGTATACATAGTAATTAAAAGTTGTTATTTTGTTTCTATTAAATCTTTTAATATGCAAGTGTTTCTTATGTACTAGTTTAAGAGGGGAAAGTATCAATTTTCAGTTATTCTGATACTGATTTTCTCACTCAATTCAGTGTTATTGCTTTGGCACTGAGCCACAGCAAACAACAAAATGTTACAACACAATACAGTAACATTTTCTCATTTCCATAAGCAATTAAATAATATAAACAGTCGGGGAAAAATTCCTCTAGAATATCATCCAATTAAATGGAAATATTAAGAAGAACTAGATAAACTAACATCTTTTAACAAATATTTGAGATAAAGTTTTTAAGGGCTTTCTAAAGGCTAAACACCTTCAAATTTTCTGATTTTTAATACATATATTGCTACAAAATAAGATAATTATACAATACATTTTAAGTAGTCATTATGTGTTTTTAGAATTGAATTGTTAACTTTAAGCTAGAAGAAACACTTCACAAAGGATGAGACTATAATAAATGAAGATCTATACCTCAAGTAAGTTAATGATTTGATAGTTGCAAGAGGATCTAGATCACCCTGAATCAAGACAAAATGCAGAGTAAATTATTTATTTATTTATTTAATTTATTTATGACATTTATAGTTCCACATGATATAGAGATTTAGTTCCACATGATACAGAGATTCAGTCCATTGGAAATGTATGCCCTTCAAGAGCTGGAACTTATCTTACAAATGAGCATCAAGTAAATGCAAGACTCCATCATTTAAGAGCCTGTTTCATATTCTCGGTTTGAAACATAATTGTAATCTGAGCCTTACTTCATTGCCGTTAAAGTAAAAGAGTATTTTCCCAGAAGCTTTTGAATTCCAAAGCACATCCCAGGATAAAGGAAAAATTGTATTCAATCACCAAATTCTCCCAGGGTTGCTATACTATGATTCTCAGTGACTCTCTTATGTGTAAACACAGAAATATAAATAAAAGCCTTAAATAACAACAAGAACTTTTATATCCGCCTCTTTCCCATACACAAAAGAGCAGGTCACTTAAAAGGCTCCAAACCTTTCTGACTTTTACTGTCAGTTTCAATAATATCAAGGTCCATATCTGAAGAGCAGCTATTCCTTTAGGACTTTGTGACAACAAAGGGCTTTCCCCTTCCTTCCCATTCATTTTTAAATTGCCTTTTATTTCACTCACCAATTCCATGATATTATTATTTGTAAGAATTAGTTCCTTGAGATTGGGCAGAGACTGTTCCAATCCTTCGCCTATTCGGCTGAAATAAAAGAGAAATTTAAAGCAAAGTGGTTACATTTCCATTACATTTAGAAAAGACTAACATTGCACTGCTTTCTCTCTTAAATTTGAGGGTATTTAGGCTTCACACTCACCTCAATCTGTTGTTATTCATCAGCAATGTTTTCAACCTTTTCAGCAAAGGAAACCCATCTAACTTTCGGATCTCATTGTCAGAGAAATCAATACTATCAAACTGGTCCAGAGTAGCCCCCAAGTTTTCAATCACGGGAATCTTATATCCTGATAAAGCATCACCAAAAAAAATAAATAAAAAAATTTAGCCCTAGTTACTAATGGAAAAGGGCAATTTTGAGTCTGCATTAAACTAAAGCTGGCAGTACACTATTGTCTCAGTATTCTTTCAATCCAGTCAAGCAGATCTGAGAAATTTCTGATAGAGTTTAGGATTATACTCTTAGGCCTCATCTACACTACCATATAATCCAGATTAACTGCTTTGAACTGGATCATATGGAAGTGTAGACTCATACCATCCAGTTCAAAGCCGATAATCTGGACTCAGAAAAAGGATTATATGGCAGTGTAGATCCAGCCTCAGACTGGCTGGCAGCAGGTTCGAGACAAACAGAAATTATTATTATTGTTATTATATTTATTTGTACCCCACTTTATCTCCCCAAAGGGGACTCAAAGCAGTGCGACACAAAAGCATTAGTATACAATTTAATATATACAATTCTTTATTGATTAGTCAATTTTGACCATATCAAAACATGCAAAACATACACATACAGTAAAACTATATATGAATACAAGGCATCATGGCTTACTGGCCTGTCGACCCACTCCTAAATAATCGAGCAACTACAAGATAAAAAGATTAAAAATTGATTAATTCCTTAAAGTAGGGTTTGGGTGGGGGCATGGGTAGATAAAACTAGTGGCATGTCCATATTTATATAAAGGTAACAATTAAGGTTTCCCCTGACATTAAGTCTATCCATGTTCGACTCTGCGGGGTGGTGCTCATCTCCATTGTCCATAGCTAGCTCCAACATGAATGCACACACACACACATATACACATATATGAGTGTGTGTATCATATATAGAGAGAATATATAAATATGCAAAAATTAAAATAGAATTAACCACAAACAGCACTAAAAATTCAGTTAAAAAAAACCAAAACAGTAAAAATATATTCTTTCCACAGAACCATTCACACATTGTACTTTCTACCAAAGCAATAATGTGGCAATGCTCATTGGTTTAAGTACAGCAGATTCCCAATTAAGGGGACACAAGCAACTGGAATTTTTTGAATAAATAATACTTTAAATAAAATATGTAAACCTGAATAATGGAACACTACCAATTAATGTTTAGCGGAAAAGTCAGTTTGAACCCGACGCGCTGTAAGTGATGTTCCCTAAGGCAAAAAGTATATTACTGGCTGTCGTTTAAGTAAAAGTGCATACTGCCGTTACAAAATTGGTCTTAATTTCCTTTTAATTGTGGTCTCTCAATTGGAGCATCAAGTCAATACAGAGTTTATGCAGGCATGGGAAAACTTGGGCCCCAGGCATTGTGGGAGTTGAAGTCCAAAACACCTGGAGGGCTGAAGTTTGCCCAGGGCCTGGGCAGTTTTTCCCAAACTGTGCTTCTCCAGGTGCTTTGGATTTCAGCTCCCAGAAACCCCAGCCAGTTTAGCAGCTGTTAGGAATTGTAGGAGCTGAAGTCCAAAACATCTGGAGGACAGCTTGAGAAACCTTGGTTTAAAAATTCTGGAAGTTGCAGTCCCAAAAAGCGCCCTGAGTAAGACCCCGAAGTCCTTCCCTCTTTCTGCTTCCAATGGGGTTCGAACGAGGCCATTCCTGAAGTCCTGCGGCAACGCGAACGCCTCGCAGGCCCCACGAGAGGCCTACTCAAGGAAGCATGACCCCCGCAGGCTCCCGTAGGAGGCTTCTTGGCCTACCCAAAACAGGCCTCCGCCACTACACGAAGGCCGGCCTCCTCACCCCGCAAGTCCAGCTCCCGGTCCCGCACCGCGTTGGTGTATTGCGCCGCCTGCTCGATCAGCTCCGCCGTCAGCTTCACCATCTTCCCGAGCCGAACCGACCGACCACACGCTCTCCTTTTGCCTCAGGGTGCAAAATTGCAAATGCGCATGCGCAGCCTGAAGACGCCAAAAAGCGATTGTAGAGCTGCGCATGCGCAGCCCGGGGCGTCGAATGCCGGATAAGCGATTGTTGGATTGCGCACGCGCGGCTCTAGGCCTCGATTGCCCCGAAAGAGGGAGGGTTGTGTCTTCCTAATGGCGTTCCCCTTTGCGCCCCAAGTGGACGCATCGAAAATTGCACCATCTTGATCTTCCAGTACTTAAAGCCGCGGAGGCGCCTTTTGCCCAGTGCATGGTCCTTTACCGCCCTCCAGTGGCCGTATCGGGAAATTGCACCGCCTTTATATATTTTCCCCTAAGGAATTCAGGGAAGAAAAAAGGGGGAAAAAAAATAAAGGAATGAAAGAAAGAAAGAAAGAAGGAGGAAGATAAAATGTGTTTGCATGTATTTGTATGTATTCAGCCATGAAAAAAAGGCACCATCAAAGACAGATGGCCATGCCCTTATAGCATAGATGGCCATGACTGAGAGCAAAAATTATACGATATYTCATAGAAWCCTAGAGTCCACTTCCTCCAGGCAGGATGGCACCATCTGATCCCTCAGTCATTGGTAGGGGTTAGGGTTAGGGGTTAGGATCTGACTTTGGAGGGAGTTACAGTGGTTATGGTTAGAGATAGGGTTTTGGGTCAAGGTCACGTTTAAGATTAGGTTCAAGGTTAGASTCCGTCATTGGTGGGGATCACAGTGGTCTSTYTTAGGGTTAYGGTCCARCATTGGTGGGGGTCACAGTGGTCTCTATTAGGGTTAGGGTCCGTCATTGCTGGGGGTCACAGTGGTCTSTYTTASYGTTAGGGTCTGTCATTGCTGGGGGTCACAGTGGTCTCTATTAGGGTTAGGGTCRGTCATTGCTGGGGGTCACAGTGGTCTGTGTTACGGTTAGGGTGGGGGRCACAGTGGTCTCTATTAGGGTTAAGGTCCACCATTGGTGGGGATCACAGTGGTCTCTGTTAGAGTTAGGGTCCGTCATTGGTGGGGGTCACAGTGGTCTGTGTTAGGGTCAGTCATTGGTGGGGGTCACAGTGGTCTGTTAGGGTTAGGGTCTGTCAGTGGTGGGGTCACAGTGATATGTGTTGGTGTTAGGATCCATCATGGGTGGGGGTCACAGTGGTCTGTTAGGGTTAGGGTCTGTCAGTGGTGGGGTCACAGTGGTCTGTGTTGGGGTTAGGYTCCGTCATTGGTGGGGGTCACAGTGGTCTGTGTTAGGGTTAGGGTCCATCATGGATGGGGGTCACAGTGGTCTGTGTTGGGGTTAGGGTCCATCATGGGTGGGGGTCACAGTGGTCCGTGTTGGGGTTAGGATCCGTCATTGGTGGGGGTCACAGTGGTTAGGGTTAGCAATAGGATTAGGGTTAGAGTTTAGGGGTTAGGGTCAGGGTCTAGGTCAGGGTTTGTTGTGGACTGCTCTTCTGAGTTTGAGGGAGAAGGACAGGTAGTTGAAGAAGCAACATTTGGGGATTATATCACACATCCCCACATTTCAGGAACAAGGAAGGAGAAAGAAGTCAGAAGGAAATAATCTAGGTTAGGGCCTCTGATGGTGCAGCGGGTTAAACTGCTGAGCTGCTGGACTTGCTGACCGAAAGGTTGGTGGTTCAAATACAGGGAGTGGGGTGAGCTCCCACTGTTAGGCCCAACTTCTGCCAACCTAGCAGTTAAAAACATGCAAATGTGAGTAGATCTGTGGGTACCACTTCTGCGAGAAGGTAACAGTGCTCCATGCAGTCATGCTGGCCACATGACTTTAGAGGTGTCTATGGACAACACCAGCTCTTCGACTTAGAAGTGGAGATAAGCACCACCCTCCCAGACTCTGACACGACTTGACTTGACTTAACGTCAGGGGAAACCTTTACCTTTACTAGCGGTGAAAACGCTGAGCAAACAGGCTGCGCCCTAGTGACAGCTGTGCTCCTGGCTATAAATTAGCAGCGAAGTCAGGGGCCAGTGCTGACAGCAACCGACCTACTTCAGGAAGTTCCTGTTCCAAGCACCGTGTCTCTGCTCCAGTGTCGGTCCTTGCTGAAGACTCTTGGCTATTGGCATTAGTTTCTGCAACCTGTAATTCTGTTTATCAAAGACTCTAGTTTCTGTCTGATGTGAAGACTTTTGTTTTATAATTGCTAGAGGACCATGTATTATTGTACTTTCTGCTTTACTTTTTGCCTTATCTTTATTTTGGCTGAAGTAAAGCCTTTTTATTTACTTTCACTTGTGTCTAAGGCTGTTTCTGGCAAAAACTGAGCAGGGTTAGTGTTTGTGTTAGGTTTAGGATCTGTTATTAGTAGGGATCCCAGTGGTCTGTGTTAGGGTTAGGATCTGTCATTAGTGGGGTTATCGTTAGAGTTAGGGTGAGTGTCAAGGTCATGGTCAGTGTCAGGGTTAGGGTCTGGCTTTGGTGGGGGTCACAGTGATTAGAGTTAGGATTAGGTTCAGGTCTTAGCTTTTATTATATAGCTATACCTATACATATATAGGAGCCCCCTGCTGAGCTTGTTGACCGAAAGGTCACAGGTTCGAATCCGGAGAGTGGCGTGAGCTTCCGCTGTCGGTCCCAGCTTTTGCCAACCTAGCAGTTTGAAAACATGCAAATGTGAATAGATCAATAGGTACCGCTTCGGCAGGAAGGTAACGGCACTCCATGCAGTCATGGTGGCCACATGACCTAGGTGTCTATGGACAGCGCCGGCTCTTCGGCCTAGCAATGGAGATGAGAACCACACCCCAGAGTCGGGCACGACTGGACTTAATATCAGGGGAAAGCCTTTACCTTTACCTATATGTAATATCTATCATATCTATGGCTAAATATGGGTATCTTTCAGGAGTGCTTGCTGATGTCTTCCTGTATGGCAAAATAGGATTGGACTGGATGGCCCTTGGGGTTCATTCCAGCTCTAAGACTCTAGGATATATCTAGTGTGAATAGATAGCTAGCTAGCTAGCTAGGTCATATTGACATATCTATGGCCGTCTCTGAATAATGGCATGGCCATCTGTCAGCGGGGTTTTGTTTGTGCCTTTTTGCCTGGCAAAATAGGGTCTGATTGGATGGCCTTTAGAAGTGCCTTCCAACTCTGGCACATCTATCATATACTAGCCATCCCCTGCCATGCATTGCTGTGGCCCAGTCTGTGTATATGTGTTTTGTGTGAGTATATGTGTATATGTGTATGCATATATTGGTGTATATGTGTATATATGTGGTTTTGCACATGCATTGTAATGCATTTTTATTTTTTGGCTTTTAAAGTCTCATTCACTGTGTTTTTCTGAGTGATGGTCACTCGCTGGCCAGACAGGTGTATTGTGTCCAAATTTGTGTCAATTCGCCCAATGGTTTTTGAGTTATGTTAATCCCACAAACAAACATTACATCTTTATTTATATACATATATGAACACATTTATAGTTGGATGGCGATCTGTCAAGAGATGGTGTCTCCCTGTATGGCAAAATGGGGTTGGACTAGATGGCCCTTAGGCATCTAGGCTTTGATGCTATATCTCTCTCTTTCTCAATCAGATCTATCAGAAGTGTGGTCACTTATATATGGCTTGACGGCCATCTGTCGGGAGGGCTTAGATGGTGCCTCCCCATCTGGCAGAAGGAAGTTGGAATGGATGGCTTTTAGGGGGTCCCTTCTAACTCTAGGAAACAACGATATCTATAGCATATGTACATATATAAACTTATATTTATTACTAGATGGACCCACCAATGATGGACCCTGACCACTAACCCTAACAGACCACTGTGACCCCTACCAATGACGGACACTAAACTTAACCCTAACCCTGGGATTTGTAGTCCAAAACACCTGGAGGGTTGAAGTTTGCCCATGCCTGTACTAGACCCTCTTTGGCAGAGAAGGCTAAAATTACAGCTCCCGTGACAGACCCACTGTAGTTCAAGTGGTATCAAACTGCATTAATTCTACAGTGTAGCTGCATCAAACTCAATGTTCCATATGGATTGCTTTTCTCTTTCTCTCTCACGCACAAAAAGACTACACAGAAGAAGGTTATTCTTCATAGCAAAATAAAACAATTTACTTTGGTTGGTTGGGGAAAAAATGGTACAGAGTAGCTCATTGGGATTACAAACATTTTATTCATGTTCTGGTCACCTTGCCGATTTCCGTTCCAGTGACCTGAAAGACTGTCCGCTTTCACTATTCATTTGGCCCAGTTTGAGGGAGCGTGGCTCCAAAAGCGGTTAATTTTAGCCCGAGAAAAGAGAGGTTAGAAGCCCACTTTGTGAAGAGCCAATTAATGTTTGACTGCCAATTTCACGGGCTGGAGGTTGAACTTATTAAGATAGCCGACGATGTGAATCCGCTCTTGTTTACACATGTCTGAGGACCAACAAGGAGACGTTTTTCGTAGGAAGCTTAACAAAGATGTCACTGAAAGGGTTTTGGTGGCACCTTGAGATATAAAAAATCTGCTTTGTCCAAAAAAATTTAAGAAAGGCAATGACTGCATAAGTTAAAAAACCTGTAAGACAACATTGCCCGATATATTTTAACACAATTATATGAACGCCACATGACAAAACTATAAAATATATATATTATATTATATGTATGTATATATGTGTGTGTATATCTATAATGTATATGGAGTGAATACATTCAGATGGGTTGGGTAATGCCGTCTAGGGGTTGTTTTCGTCCTTTCCTCGTTGGCTAAATGGAAAATTTTGTAAAAAGTTTGCTGACTGAAGTAATGGAACTATTCTTAAAGGAAAAAGGCTTTAGGAGGTAGAAAAATGAAGCCATGAATCAATCAAGAACTAAACATGAGGGGAGATGCAAACATTTTGTTGCTGGAGAGAGGAAACTATTCAGTCAAGAGATGCATTCGTTGCCAGTGATTTCATACAGGCTTCCAATCCAATCTTTCAGGACAACGCTGTCCCTAAACGTCACAATGGATCATTTAGATGTGGGCAAAACGTCAGGAAAGAATGCTTCTGGAACATGGCCATACAGCCCGGAAAACTCACAGCAACCCAGCAATCACTTAGAAGTTAGCTCCTCGAAACAACTCCATGTATGCTTTGGGATAAATGAAGAGCGCTCCTGACTTCTTTCCTGCTCACTCTTTGGTCTTTGCCAAAATACAAGCTTAAGGCCACCTTGCTACTCAAAGGCAACCTGGAATGTGCTTATTTCCCATTGTAATTTTGCCAAAAGGAGCTGCATCGGATAGCGAGAGAATGCAACTCTAGCAAAACCAGTCCGAGGAATTCATAAGCCACCTTGAAATATTGCCATCTTTTCTTTTTCTGGTGGGAGGAACACTCTCCTCTGGTTTGGAGAGGTTGATGGCCATGCATTAAGACAACGCCTCTGTATCCATTTCTGAGAAAGATTCATGGTGCAATTTGCATCCCTACTATGTTTTCCTGCCTTTTAGAAACTCAATGAGCCAGGTAATAAGATGGCCTGGATTTAGGATTGCCAGATGGGACACTGTAGAAACCAAGCTGAAGCTGGCAGGGGGTATTGAAAGCAATCGGAGTTGCAAGCTGGAGCTTCAGCCGAAGCTGCGGGGGAAAAGGGAGCAGCAGTGTCCGGTCCCATCAGCAACCAGGTCTCCAAAGAGCGGGTATTTAACCGGTCAAGAGGCATGTCCGACAGCAAAACTGGAATAAGATCTTGCGCTCACACAGCTTGTTTGACTTCACCAACTCGCAGAAGAGGTCATCGGCTAAAAAGGAGAGAAGAACGTAGATGTGAACATTTCATTTGAATCAGAATGGGCACAAGTGCTGCAAAACCAAAAATAACATGTCCTGACTTTGTCACAAGGGTTGCAAGATGGGGAAGGACTTATTGCTTTGTTTCTGGGGAAAGAGGAGGTGATAGAATAGGCATGGGCAAACTTAGGCCCTCCAGGGGTTTTGGACTTCAACTCCCACAATCCCTAACAGCCTCAGGCCGGATCAAAATGAGTTTCTGGGCTTTCTTTTCTCCTCCACTCTATAATCCTCTTTCAAACCATTCCATAACAGTTGATAGCTTTGTCCACACTTGTTTTTGATCATATCCCAATATTTTAATGTACCATCAATGTTTAAGCCAGAGTTTCTCAACCTGAAGGTCAGGACCCCTGGGGGGGTGGGGTGGTGGTCAACAAAGACCATCAGAAAACACAGTATTTTCTGTTGGTCATGGGGGTTCTGTGTGGGAAGTTTGGCCCAATTATATAATTAGTGGGGTTCAGAATGCTCTTTGATTGTAGGTGAACTATACATTCCAGAAACAACAACTCCCAAATGTCAAGGCCTATTTCCCCCAAACTCCATTAGTGTTTACATTTGGAGATACTGAGTATCTATGCTAAGCTTGGTCCAGATTAATCATTGTTTGAGTCCGCAGTACTCTCTGGATGTAGATGAACTACAACTCCTATACTCAAGGTCAATTCCCCCCAAACACTTTCAGTATTTTCGGTTTATCATGGGAGTTTGTGTGCCAAGTTTGGTTCAATTCCATCATTGGTGGAGTTCAGAATGCTCTTTGATTATAGGTAAATCCCAGCAACTCCCAAATGACAGAATCGATCCCCCCACCAACCCAACAGTATTCAAATTTGGGTGTATTGGGTAATTGTGCCAAATTTGGTCCAGTGAATGAAAATACATCCTGCGCATCGGATATTTACATTACGATCCATAACAGTAGCAAAATGACAGTTATGAAGTAGCAACTAAAATAATTCTATGGTTGGGGGTCACCATGACATGGCGAACTGTATTAAGGGGTCGCGGTATTAGGAAGGTTGAGAAACACTGGCTTAAGAGGTCACCAATCAATCTCATTCCATTTTGCTTTAATTTTTTTATCATTTTGCCAAACACTTGTTCATTTTCATTATCCAATATCCCTACTGAGAGTATATTTATTTTATTTATTGGGAATTAATTTCACCATTTTTTCCAGCATTCAATGGAGGAGATCATTGGACCCCCTTTAATTTCTTTTAAAACCTTATTGTCTATGCTACTCTTCAGACACAGGCAATGGTTTTCAACCATATATTGTTTTCTCGATTCTGGCCTATCTTTCTGAATTATCAGAAGCATTCAAAATGGACTACCAGGCGATCTGTGTAACTGGAAATGCATACAGTACAACTTTTTTGGGTAAAACTCCACCAAAGTACTTACTATTGCGGCATCTGTCATTTGCAACACAAGAGCCATTGAACAAGCTGAAGCCTTCTTTACACTGGAGACATTTTTTCCCAAAGCTATCACAGCTTGTACAGTTGTTTTCACATCTGAGGAACAAACAAAAATCAAGCATTTCTGGTAACTAACTGCATGCTGCTAACATTATAGAAAGCACAGAGCTGGAGTGTGGAAAGACATGAAATTACATTAGAAACAGCAACAATGTTCCCAAAAGATTTTAAAAAATTATCGCTGGTTTGTAACATTATTTCAAAATATTTTTTTAAAAGTTACACTGTTGTACATGTTATCACAATGAGACAGTCTAAGGCTGGATCTACACTGCTCTATATGCAAGGATTTGATCCTAGATGATCTGTTTACGCCAGATTATCTGGCAGTGTAGACTCATATAATTCTGTTCAAAGCCTATATCTAAGGGGCCAGGCTTAGCACAGCGGGCTAAACCGCTAAGCTGCAGAAAATCCTGCTGATCGAAAGGTTGGCAGTTCAAGCCTAAGTCGGGGTGAGCTCACTTAGCAGATTGAAAACAAAAATGTGAGTAGATAAATAGGTACCGCTTTAAGCAGGGAAGTAATAAAAGGTGCCCATAAGGACATGCTGGTGATTTGATCAGGGAGACGTCTATGGACCATAAAGCTCCTCAGCATGGAAGGTGGAACAACAGCACCTCCCTTGTGGCTGAAGCCGAGCACAGCCTCCAGATGCCGGAAATAGAAAAAGATGGGGAAGTCTTTACCTCTGTTTATGTATCGTCTGTTCTTGTTAATTGTGTAACGGCACTGAATGTTTGCTGTATATGTGTTCTGTAATTTGCCCTGAGTCCCCTCAGGAAGATAGAGCAGAATATAAATAAAGTCTATTACTACTACTACTACTACTACTACTACTACTACTAGCTGTTCCCTGCCATGTGTTGCTGTGGCTCAGTCTGTGTATGTGTTTTGTGTGTGTATATATGTGTATATGTGTGTTTGTGTATATATGTGTGGTTTTGCACATGCGTGATAATGTATTTTTTTGTTTAAGTCTCTTTTGCTGTGTTTTTCAGTGTTTTTATGAGTGATGGTCACTCGTTGGCCTGATATGTGCATTGTGTCCAAATTTGGTGTCAATTTGACCAGTGGTTTTTGAGTTATATTAATCCCACAAATGAACATTACATTTCTATTTATATAGATGACTAGCTGTATCTGCCATGCCCAACCTTCCCTCCCTCTTTCTCTCCTTCCTTAGCTCCCTCTTTCCTTCCTTCCTTCCCTTTTCTTCTTTCCTTCTCTCCTTCCTTCCCTACCTCTTTCCTTACTTCCGCTTTTCTCTTCCTTCCACTTTCTCTCCTTTCTTCCTTATCTACCCCTTTCCTTCCCTCCTTCACTTTTTGCTTCCATCCTTCCTTCTCTTTTTCCTTCCCTCCCTCTTTGTCTCCTTTCTTCCTTCTCTTTCGTTCCTTCCTTTGCTTTTTGCTTCCATCCTTCCTTCTTTCTTTCCTTTTCTTCCCTCCCTCTCTCTCCTTCCTACCTCTTTCCTTCTTTCCTTCTCTCCTTCCTTCCTTCCTACCTCTTTCCTTCCTCCCCTTTTTCTTTTCCTTCTCCTTTCTCCTTCTCTCTTCCTTCCTTCCTTCCTTCCTTCCTTCCTTCCTTCCTTCCTTCCTTCCCTCTTCCTTCCTTCCTTCCTTCCTTTGCTCTTTGCTTCCATGCTTCCTTCTCTCTTTCCTTCTTTCTTTTCCTCTTTCTTTCTCCCCTTCCTTCCCTCCCTCTTCCCTTTTTTCTCTATTGTCATTTGGCTTTTCATCATTTAGCTTTTGGGGGTTTTAAGTCCTTTCCGCTGTTTTTTTTTGGGGGGGGGGGAGTTATGAGTGATGGTCACTCGGTCTGTTAGGGGTGTAGTGTCCAAATTTGGTGTCAGTTCGTCCAGTGGTTTTTGAGTTATGTTAATCCCACAAACGAACATTACATTTTTATTTATATAGATTATTATATTACAGGATCTGATCCCAAATTGTCTGCTTTGAACTGGATTATATGACAGATAATCTAGGATAAGAAAATAATCTGAGATCGGATCTAGCAATCCGAGAGTAGGTCCAGTCTTAGATCATCCAATTCAAAGAAGATAGTCTGGATTATCTGATTTGATAATTATATGGCAGTGTACATGTATCCTAAGTTTCCTCTGCCAGAGATTTCCAGGGGAGGGACAACCAGACTACATTTAACCTGCACCCTCTATTTAATCAGTCTCACAATGAAGCCGAAAGCAATGTTGTTGTTCTTGCTGCCTATGATATACTCATTTTCTGCAGATAAAAGATGAGCCTGTTTGGAATTGGGTTGCGCCTCCCACTCGCTCCAAGAGGCAGGAAGAAGAAAGAGCTCCCTGTATCCCCAGATAGAGGAGCAACCCCTAGTAGAAAGTGAGTCACTAACACAGCCAAAGAAACAAAGACTCTAGAGAGGGGAAAACAACCCTTCACAAATGTATTTTTATTTAGGGAATATACAGAACTAGGTCAGAATGAGGAATGGGAAACATCTGGTGACATTACTCCCTGAAATGGCGAGAACAGTCTGATTTATTCTGTTGGCAGGGTAAGAGTTCTCCCTTTTCTGATGGAAATGAATGTAACACAGGAAAGACCAATGTTCCTATTACCAGCAGAAGAGAGGAACATCCTCTGAATTGGGATGCACCAACAGAGTGAGGCTAGCATCCCACTGTTTTGGATTTTAATTTTGTGTTGTGACACCTTCCTGCCAAACACAGCATTAACTATCATGTTTGTAATGCCATAATACTGGATCATTGCAGCAACCAAAATACCTGGGAGTTACCCTGGACCATGCTCTGACTTACAAGAAGCACTACTTCACTATCAAGTAAAAAGTGAGTGCTAGAAATAATATCTTACGAAAGCTGACTGGCACAACCTGGGGATCACAACCAGACACAGTGAAGACATCTGCCTTGTCTTCCCTGTGTCTGCCGTGAGGGGGATAGAGCTATCAGTTGACAACTGAATCTCATCAGGCCCAGTTAATCAATATCCATCTATGGTGACGATTGTGCCATCACCACTCAATCTTTGAAATGGTTGGACAGAAGCTCTCCGAAGCTTTAGGTGCTCTTACTGCCTATTACAGGGAAAACCAACTGATTCCTAATTCATCTAAAACACAGACATGTGATTTTCATCTTAAGAACAGACAAGCAACGCGAGCTCTGAGAATCACCAGGGAAGGAATCCCACTGGAGCATTGCACACACCCAAATACCTGGGAGTCACTCTGGACCATGCTCTGACTTATAAGAAGCACTGCTTGACTATGAAGCAAAAAGTGGGTGCTAGAAATAATATCGTACGAAAGCTGATTGGTACAACCTGGGGATCACAACTAGACACAGTGAAGACATCTCCCCTTGCGCTTGGCTATTCTGCTGCCGAATACACATGTCCAGTATGGAATACATCTCACCATGTTAAAACAGTGGATGTGGCTCTTAATGAGGCATGCCACATTATCACAGGATGTCTATGCTCAACACCGCTGGAGAAATTATATTATTTAGCTGGTATTGCAGCACCTGACATCTGTTGGGAAGTAACAGCCTGTAATGAAAGGACTAAGGCAGTGACATCTTTGGCCCATACTCTGTTCGGATATCAGCCAGCATATCAATGTTTTAAATCAAGAAATAGCTTTCTAAGATCTACAGAGATACTTGCTGGAGCACCTCAGCAAGCGAGAGTCCAAAAGTGGCAGGTTAAAACCCGGAACCTCAATGAGTGGCTGATGCCAGATGAGAAACTCCCTCCTGGGCACACAGAAGACTGAATGACTTGGAAGGTGCTGAACAGACTGCATTTTGGCACCAGGAGATGCAGAGCTAACCTTAAGAAATGGGGATACAATGTGAAGTCCAAGACATGCGAGTGTGGAGAAGAGCAAACCACAGACCGCTTACGACATTGCAGTCTGAGCCCTGCCACATGCACAATGGAGGACCTTCTTTCAGCAACACCAGAGGCACTCGAAGTGGCCAGCTACTAGTCAAAGGACATTTAGTATAATACCAAATTTATAACTTTGTTTGTGGTTTTTGTATACATTATAACTGTATTCTCATTTCACTTCTGACACGATAAATAAATAAATAAATAAATAAATAAATAAATGCCTAACAACTATAGATGGTGATTGTCATGTGGAGCTCCACTAGAGAAGCATTAGCGGGCAGATGTGGCTGCATCCCTTACGGAGTGTGCAGTGATATTTTCTGGAGGTGGAGACTCATAACAGGTCATAAAGGTGGGACCTGAGCTATCTACTCAGGATGGAGATGGAAACCTTCTTATCCTGAAAGGAAATGGAAGCTGCTCATCCTTTTCAGATAGCTGAGGATGGCTCTGAGAATATCCAAGGTCTCCCATATCTCCTCCAATTCCATTGAAAGCGAAAGACAGAAGAATGGAAACATCATCTCCTGTTCCGTATAGAAAGTAGAGTTCACCTTGATGAAGGCCAGGTCCAGTCGAAGCTCAGCAAAGTCAGATTTGATGATACAGAGCTCTTTGATCGAAGGGTGGAATCGTCAGAGCTTTCGAGGCGGCGGGAAGGTCCCAGGATGGGGAGCAACGTACTGTAATTGGGGACAGCAATGACAGGTCCTTGAGGAATCTCCACATTTGTGGGTGTGATGTGATCCTCATCCCCTGGTCTATCTCCAACATGAATAATACATTTTCTTTGGGTCTATAATTGGAGCCGTGGTGGTACGATGGGTTAAACCCTTGTGCTGCTGAACTGCTGACCTGAAGGTTGGCAGTTTGAATCTGCAAGACGGTGTGAGCTCCCGTCCATCAGCTCCAGCTCCTGCCAACCTAGCAGTTTGAAAACATGCAAATGTGAGTAGATAAATAGGTACCGCTTCAGCGGGAAAAGGCAAAGAGATGCTCCAAGCAATCTTGCCGGCCACACAACTAGGAGGTGATAATGCAGGCTACTCAGTTTGAAAACGGAGAAAACACCTCCCCAAAGCCAGAGATCAGCACCACCTCCAGAAGCCAGAAATGAAAGGAGAAGCCTCTGCCTTTGTTTGTGTGTCTCATTGTACATGATTGTAAAGGCATTTAATGTCTGCTTATGTATGTAAATGCTGTAATCCGCTCTGAGTCCACTCTGAGTCCCCTAAGGGCGAAGAGCGGAATATAAACAAAGTGTATTACTGTATTATTATAACTGGCTGAGTTTTGCCTATAAAACTCCAAGAAGCATTTTCAAGGTGTTGGGAAACACTTGAGAAATTCAAGTGTCAAGTGCCTAAGAAAGAGGCCAGTGTTTTATATAAGACCGAGACATCCTGCGTCCAAAGAGGCGCTTCTTGACTGCTGGTAATGGAGTCAAAATTATAGTGTCCATAGCTTCTGCTTAGATAGAGTTCCCCCAGAAAATTTAAAGAAGATTTTTAAAAAGGAGAATAGAGAGAAAAAGGGAAGGCAAAACAGAGAAACAAACCAAAGAGAAAGCAAAAAGGCCGCAAGGACTGAAGCAGCTCATACGCGAGGAAGCAAAGCAGAAGTAAAGGCATCCTATTGGAAAGTGACGTCAGGGAAAAGACTGACATTCTAGGCTTTGCTCCTCTAAATTGGGATACTACTGTAGAAAGTCTTTCTTTTTCTGGAGCATGTGGAAGAAGCAACCCAGTTTAGAAGATGTTCCTCCTTCTTTGCTGAGAAATGAGATAGTTATATTAAAAACCAGTTGCTCAACCATAACAAGAAAAGGGGTCATGAATAGAATTATTTCCTGCATGAAAAAAATGAATTTCTGCATCATAAAAACACCAGGAGAGTCACAACACCATTCAGTAAGAATGAGGCAAAAGCAGGGTTAACCCACTGCCATAATGGCATAACACCCAGATTGTGAAACTAAAGAGCACAGTCCTTCTTGGAAAAACCCAAGAGGAATTACAAATTAAAGGGCCGGCTTTAGCACAGCAGGTTAAACATCAGCTGTAGTCAATATTGTCAGTTGAAAGGCTGCCAGTTAGAAGCTGGGTCAGGGCGAGTTCCTGGCCTTAGCCCAGTTTCCGCCCACCTAGCGGTTCAAAAGCAAAAACGTGATTAGATAAATAGATCAATTAAAAAGTAGGGGAGGTATTCTAAGGCACCCAGAAGGAAGGCCTGCGATTCAATCCAAAGGAGGAAGTTGCGAACTAGTTCTTTGGCAGAGAGATGGAATGATAGTATCACCCCCTTCCCCAGGGTAGCTAGAATCAAGACAACACCTTCCAAGATGCCGGAAAGATGGGGAAAGCCGATATATATGCCTCTTATCTATGTATAATTGTCTGTCTAATTGTGTATAAAATGGTACTGAATATTTGCCAAGTATGTATTGACTACGTCCTTTGCAGCCAAAGGTGGCGGACATCCATCCAGTCGGTGAAAACAAGACCTGGGGCTGACTGTAGCTCAGATCACGAACTTCTTATTGCCCAATTTAGAATAAAACTAAAGAGATCAGGGAAAATCCACAGACCAGTTAGATATGATCTCACTAACATTCCTAGCGAATATACAGTGGAAGTGAAGAACAGATTTGAAGGACTAGATTTAGTAAACAGAGTCCCAGAAGAACTATGGACAGAAGTCCGCGACATTGTTCAGGAGGCAGCAACAAAGTATGTCCCAAAGAAAAAGAAAACCAAGAAGGCAAAATGGTTGTCTGCTGAGACACTGGAAGTAGCCCAAGAAAGGAGGAAAGCAAAAGGAAACAGTGATAGGGGGAGATATGCCCAGTTAAATGCGCAATTCCAGAGGTTAGCCAGAAGAGATAAGGAACTATTTTTAAACAAGCAATGCATGGAAGTGGAAGAAGACAACAGAATAGGAAGGACAAGAGACCTCTTCCAGAAAATTAGAAACATTTGGAGGTAAATTTCAGGCAAAAATTGGTATGATAAGAAACAAAGATGGCAGGGACCTAACAGAAGCTGAAGAGATCAAGAGAAGGTGGCGAGACTATACAGAAGATCTGTATAGGAAGGATAATAATATTGAGGATAGTTTTGACGGTGTGGTGAAGAATTAGAACCAGACATCCTGAGGAGTGAGGTTGAATGGGCCTTAAGAAGCATTGCTAACAACAAGGCAGCAGGAGACGACGGGATCCCAGCTGAACTGTTTAAAATCTTAAAAGATGATGCTGTCAAGGTGATGCATGCCATTTGCCAGCTATATGGAAAACACAAGAATGGCCATCAGACTGGAAAAAATCAACTTATATCCCCATACCAAAAAAGGGAAATGCGAAAGACTGCTCAAACTTCCGTACAGTGGCCCTTATTTCTCATGCCAGTAAGGTAATGCTCAAGATCCTGCAAGGAAGACTCCAGCAATACATGGAGTGAGAGTTGCCAGATGTTCAAGCTGGGTTTAGAAAAGGCAGAGGAACGAGAGACCAGATTGCCAATATCCGCTGGATAATGGAGAAAGGCAGGGAGTTTCAGAAAAACATCTACTTCTGCTTCATTGACTATTCTAAAGCCTTTGACTGTGTGGATCATAATAAATTGTGGCAAGTTCTTAGTGGGATGGGCATCCCAAGGCACCTTGTCTCTCTCCTGAGGAATCTGTACAAGGACCAAGTAGCAACAGTCAGAACTGACCACGGAACAACAGACTGGTTCAAGATTGGGAAAGGCGTACGGCAAGGCTGCATACTCTCACCCAACCTTTTTAACTTGTATGCAGAACACATCCTGCGATGTGCGGGGCTTGATGAATGCAAGGCTGGGGTGAAAATTGCTGGAAGAAACATTAACAACCTCAGATATGCAGATGACACCACTCTGATGGCCGAAAGCGAGGAGGAGCTGAGGAGCCTTCTAATCAAGGTGAAGAAGAAAGCGCAAAAGCTGGGTTGCATCTAAACAATAAAAAAACAAGATTATGGCAACCAGACTGATTGACTACTGGCAAACAGAAGGAGAAAATGTGGAGGCAGTGACAGACTTTGTATTTCTATGGGCAAAGATTACTGCAGATGCAGACTGTAGCCAGGAAATCAAGAAGCTTACTTCTTGGGAGGAGAGCAATGTCCAGTCTCGATAAAATAGTGAAGAGTAGAGACATCACTGGCAACAAAGATCCGCCTAGTCAAAGCCATGGTATTCCCTGTAGTCACCTACGGATGTGAGAGCTGGACCTTAGGGAAGGCTGAGCGAAGGAAGATAGATGCTTTTGAACTGTGGTGTTGGAGGAAAGTGCTGAGAGTGCCTTGGACTGCAAGAAGATCCAACCAGTCCATACTTCAAGAAATAAAGGCTGACTGCTCACTGGAGGGAAGAGTATTAGAGGCCAAGATGAAGTACTTTGACCACATCATGAGAAGAAAGGAAAGCTTAGAGAAGACAATGATGCTGGGGAAAATGGAAGGAAAAAGGAAGAGGGGCCGACCAAGGGCAAGATGGATGGATGGCATCCTTGAAGTGACTGGACTGACCTTGAAGGAGCTGGGGGTGGTGACGGCCAACAGGGAGCTCTGGTGTGGGCTGGTCCATGAGGTCACGAAGAGTCGGAGACGACTGAACGAATGAACAACAACAATGTATGATCTGTGATCCGCCTGGAGTCCCCTTCGGGGTGAGAAGGGCGGAATATAAATAAATAAGTAAAATTCTTTTAAAATGCACCTGCAGATTACTTGCAGGATAGTAAACATGCAGGCATGGTCTTTTCTTAAAGACGGGAATATATGAAGCTGGGTTGTTGTAGGTTTTTTGGGCTATATGGCCATGTTCTAGAAGCACTCTCTCCTGACATTTTGCCTGCATCTATGGCAAGCATCCTCAGAGGTTGTGAGCTCAGACCTCACAACCTCTGAGGATGCTTGCCATAGATGCAGGTGAAACGTCAGGAGAGAATGCTTCTAGAACATAGCCAGATAGCCCGAAAAACCTACAACAACCCAGTGAAAACCTTCGACAATATATATGATGCTGCTTCGTATTGAGGGTGTGTCTATTATCAGCTGAAAAAGCCTGGGTGCATTCGGGAGTATTCTATTCTGAGATTCATCACACGAGTGCCATGCATAAAGCAATAAAGTAAACTATAAATAAAGTACATAAATTAATATATAAATAAATGTAAATAAAGTAACTTCAATACAAAAATACGGAATCGGTCTTGGTGTTCAGGCAGTTGGATGGCTGACAGCACATCTGCACCAGTGCCCTGACCTCCATTTCCACCTGCCTGCTCTCTGATGGGATGCATGCTTCTGCTATGCCCAGGATGCTGATGGGGTTTTCTGGAATGTGCACGCAAAGCCATTGCATGCATAAAGACCCTTGCCCGCCCACCTGTTCAAGAGGGAGAACTGCCAGCAAGGAAATGGTGAGGCTTCCACAATAGCTGCATGCAAAGCTTGGGCGCAAGGGCTCTTTGGCTCCACATGGGAGGAAAGGGCTGATTGCTGGGTAAGGAAGGATGATCGTATGCCTGGGTGCCCAGACAGATTGGTGCTGGCAGACATTGCCTTTGCACGTCTCCTTTGATGATCAGGGCTGGAAGGATCCCCCTCGAGACCACTTGTTTGGCAAGGCAGCAGCGTTGGTGGCACTGATCAGGGAGACAGACAATGATGACGCTTGCCAGCACCAATCCATCCTGGTAGGTGTTTCTGATGCGTAGACAACTGGATCGATCCGAATCCACCTCGATCAATTTGTCTTCACTTAAAACATACCAGAGTTTTTAGTTTTAAATATGTTTTCATGGTTTCGGCTTCTAATGGAATTGTTGTTGTTTTTGGTTCTCATAAGCTTTAATAAACTATTTTAAAAACAAACAAACATTTGATGAGTGGGCCTCCAGATGCTGCAGGTAAAAAAGGGGAAGGCCTTTACCTTATTTGTGTATTATATCTTGTTCATTGTGTAAAAAACATTGAATGTGTACAGTAATCAGCTCTGAGTCCCTCCGGGGGGATAAAGCAGAATATAAATAAAGTGTATTATTATTATTACTAGCTGTACCCGCCACGCGTTGCTGTGGCCAACCTTCCCTCCCTCTTTCTCTCCTTTCTTTCTCTCCTTCCTTCCCTTTTTTCTTTCCTTCTCTCCTTCCTTCCTTCCCTTTCACTTCCCTTCTTTCCCCCCTTTTCTTTCCCTTTTTCTTTCTCTTCTTCCTTCCTTCTTTACCTATTCTTGGACTGCAACTTCCAGCAGTCCTCCTGATCAATCAATCTACCTATCTAGCTATCTATATCTATCTATCTGGAGGATTGCTGGGATTTGCAGTCCAAGAATAGGAAATTGGAAATATGCAGGGACTGGGATGATCTCAAAGAAATCAAAGGAGAAGAAATCTTGCAGCTTGAAAGCAGTGCGTTTGGATCATCCTCCTCTCCTAAAGGGCCTGGTCTAGGGGATGCTGGGAGCTGTAGTCCAAAAGAGAGTGTGGATATGCTATTGTGTATTTTATTTGCCAGGGGGAGTCGTTTTTGCGCATGCGCTGTAGCATCTTTTTGCTTTGTTGGCTTTTAAAGTCCCTTCCACTGTGTTTTTCAGTGTTTTTATGAGTGATGGTAACTCGTTGGCCTGATAGGTGTATTGTCTCCAAATTTGGTGTCAACTCGTTCAGTGGTTTTTGAGTTATGATAATCCCACAAACAAACATGACATTTTTATTTATATAGATTACTACTACTACTACTACCTGACCACTGGCTTCTTGTAATCGAAGTCTAACAACACCTGAAGGATATTCTGGCAAATAATCTACAACTGTTGTCACTTAAATACAATGAAAGTTAGGGATATTTCTAGTTGCAATTGCCACAGCTTCTATAATAGCAGGGCTTTGGGACCACGCTGTTGAAAGAGGTCTTACCTTCTGCAGACTTTGTATGGGAGTCCAGGCACCTCGTCAGCATAATAGTTCTCCCCACATGAAGGGACACATTTCCAGTCATGGGTGTTCCTGCCACACTGCGTACAGTCCTCTCGCCCTGGCCCTAAAGAACAATAGGAAAAATATGCCTGCCAGTCAGAGAAATAATATCAGTATTAAATGCAAGGTGGATACAGAAGAGGAAACGGAGTTGTTTGGCACCACATCGAATCAACTGAGCCATCCAATAATTGATCAATAATTATGGGTGGCTAGGAAGCACCCAGAGATATCATCCTCCTGGATAATAACAAAAAGGCTGCGGATGACACAATGGGTTAAACCCTTGTGCTGTTGAATTGCTGACCAGAAGGCTGGCAGTTAGAAGCCACAGGTTGGGGTGAACGCCCGCTGTTAGCCCTAGCTCCTGCCAACCTAGCAGTTCAAAAACTTGCAAATGTTAGTAGACCAATAGGTATTGCTTTGTCGAGAAGCTAGTAAAGGTGCCCATGCAGCCATAATAATAATAATAATAATAATAATAATAATAATAATAATAATAATAATAATAATAATAATAGCTTTATTTATACCCCACCACCATCTCAACAAGGGGACTCGGGGCGGCTTTCATGAGGCCAAGCCCAGCAATACAACAATGCAAATGTACAACATAAGAATACAACAATAAAATATTTTAAAAAATAAAATAAAATACAAGAAACAATATAAATAAACACACGAGGCAATATAAAATCACAATATTTGAACACAGAGAATTGATCATAGTGCCATGACAGCAACATAATCAGGATGCGTCTACGGACAACAGACTCCTCAGCTTGGAAATGGAAAAAAAGCACCTCCCCATGGCTGGAGTTGAACACCGCCTCCTGAAGCCGGAAATGAAAGGGGAAGCATTTACTCTTTGTTCTGTGTATGTGTGTGTCATTGTCATTTCACTGTATTAAAGGAATTGAATGTGTATGTTGTAATCCGCTCTAAGTCCCTCGGGGAGATAGAGCAGAATATAAATAAAGTGCTATTATTATTATTATTATTATTATTATTATTATTATTAAAAATCCCTTAGAAGAAACAAAAACAAAGGAAGAATGCACATTAGCAGGAACGAGTATTTATCACAGCAATCATTGTTCCATGTGTGAAAAGATCAGAACTGAAATGCAAGCAGTTATGGCAAGAGAGAGCAAGAAAAAGCAACTTCTGTTTCCTAACATTATGCAAAGAAAACCAAGTCAGAGAGGCTTTGTGTCCTGACCCCAGGCAGCAAGGACACTGTAATGCAAAAGCCATCTGCTTCCTCTATAAATTCCACACCAACTAGTGCTCGACTGGCACATCTTTGTTCTTTCATGCACACAGAATTTAGATTTCTCTTATTTGGTTTTTCAGGGAGGCAATGCTACCAAACTGTGGAAATTCTCAGGCTGCTTTTCATCCGGAATGTAAGGCAGCTCAGGAAACACATTGGAATTTGGCAAAAAGTAAACATTTATAAAATTAGATAATAATTAAAAGCATTTACTTATACTATTTAAACTAAATACTGATATAAGGTAAAGGTTTCCCCTTGACATTAAGTCTAGTCAGGTCTGACTCTAGGGGGTGGTGCTCATCTCCATTTCTAAGCCGAAGAGTTGGGGTTGTCCATAGACACCTCATATGGCCAACATGAATGCATGGAGCGCCATTACCTTCCTGCCAGAACAGTACCTATTTATTTATTTATTTATTTATTGGAGCCCCCGGTGCCGCAGTGGGTTAAACCCCTGTGCCGGCAGGCCTGAAGACTGACAGGTTGCAGGTTTCGAATCCGGGGAAAGGCTGATGAGCTCCCTCTATCAGCTCCAGCTCCTCATGCGGGGACATGAGAGAAGCCTCCCATAAGGATGATAAAAACATCAAATCATCTGGGCGTCCCCTGGGCAACGTCCTTGCAGACGGCCAATTCTCTCACACCAGAAGCGACTTGCAGTTTCTCAAGTCCCTCCTGACACGACAAAAAACCCCTATTTATCTAAGCAGTTCCTATTGATCTACTCACATTTGCATGTTTTTGAACTGCTAGGTTGGCAGAAGCTGGGGCTAGCAGCAGGAGCTCACCCCGCTCCCCAGATTTGAACCGCTGACCTTTCGGCACAAGGGGCTCCCAAATACTGAATTACAATAGTTTAAAAACATATCAAGAAATGGCTTGAGAATTGTTTTTTAAATTGTTTTAATATTGTGGTTGTTTTTGAGTTTTAATGCATATGTTTATTTTTACTGTATCTATGTATATGTATGGCATTGAATTGTTGCCTTTTGTGACCGTCTCTGAGTCCCCCTATTGGGGTGAGAAGGGTGTGATATAAACGTAGTAAATAAATAAACAAATGCACCCCACATTAAAAGGCATTTCTGCATAAGCAGCCAGTTACCAAGACCTGGATTGATTTTGCTGGCAGTTCTTTTTACTGTAGCAAAGGGAAATTGCCAGCTTTGCCTATGGGGCCTAAACCTTGGATTTGTTTACTTTTTTAAACTAAGAGTTTTGGGATCCAACCAATATGTTGGGACGTAGTGGTCTTTGGGGTTTCAAACTGCATTATTTCCTACTGCTGTTCTGCAGGGATCTCTCATTTCAGGACAAACCAGGCATGATTCTGCTTAGCTGCCAAAATCTGATGAGACTGGGTGTGTTCAAGTTCGTACGGTGGTGGAAATCTGACTATATAACTATAAATATACAAAAACAGAGCAACACCCAGCGCTGGCTTTTAATTTAATGCCACAAGCTTGGACCATAGTGCAGTGTTTCTCAACTTTCCTATAGCCGCGACCCCTTAATATAGTTCCTTATGTTGTGGTGGCCCCCAACCATAGCATTATTTTCATTGCTACTTCATAACTGTAATTCTGCTACTGTTATGAATTATAATGTAAATATGCAATACGCAGGATGTATTTTCATTCATTGGACCAAATTTGGCACAAATACCCAATACGGCCAAATTTGAATACTGCTGGGGATGGGAGAGATTTATTTTGTTATTTGGGAGTTGTAGTTGCTGGGATTTATAGTTTGCCTACAATCAAAGAACATTCAGAACTCCACCAATGATGGAATTGAACCAAACTTGGCACACAGAACTCCCAAGACCAACAGAAAATACTGGGTTTGGTGGGCATTGACCTTGAGTTTTGGAGTTGTAGTTCATCTACACCCAGAGAGCACTTTGGACTCAAACAGTGATGGATCTGGACCACACTTGGCACAGATACTCAATATGCCCGAATATGAACACAGGTGGAGTTTGGGGAAATAGACCTTAACATTTGGGAGTTGTAGTTGCTGGGATTTATAGTTCAGCTACAATCAAAGAGCATTCAGAACTCAATCAATGATGGAATTGAACCAAACTTGGCACACAGAATTGTCAAGACCAACAGAAAATACTGGAAAGGTTTGGTGGGCATTGACCTTGAGTTTTGGAGTTGTAGTTCACCTATACCCAGAGAGCACTTTGGACTCAAAACAGTGATGGATCTGGACCACACTTGGCACAGATAATCAATCTACCCGAATGTGAATACTGGTGGCGTTTGAGGAAATTTGGGAGTTGTAGTTGCTGGGATATATAGTTCAGCTACAATCAGAGAATTCTGAACCCCACCAATGATAGAATTGGGCCAAACTTCCCACACAGAACCCCCATGACGAACAGAAAAGACTGTGTTTTCTGATGGTCTTTGGTGACCCCTCTGATACCCCTCGCGACCCCCCCAGCGGTCCTGACCCCCAGGTTGAGAAACACTGCCATAGTGTGTGTGTGTGTGTATTCATACTAGGCCTGGCCAATGCATGGTTCTAAATGGTTCTAAAGTACTTACAATACTAAAGTGCTGGTGGTGAAAATTTCAGAACTCTAACAAAACTTTCATAATTTATTTATTATTTCATTATTTCATTATTGGGAGCCCCCGGTGGTGCAGTGGGTTAAACTCCTGTGCAGCAGGACTGAAGACTGACAGGTCGCAGGTTCGAATCCGGGGAGAGGCGGATGAGCTCCCTCTATCAGCTCCAGCTCCTCATGCAGGGACATGAGAGAAGCCTCCCAGAAGGATGATAAAACATCAAATAATCCGGGCATCCCCTGGGTAACATCCTTACAGACGGCCAATTCTTTCACACCAGAAGCGACTTGCAGTTTCTCAAGTAGCTCCTGACACAACAAAAAAAATTTGGTGATTTTTATGACAGAACCAATTAGGAACTGCCATTTATAATGAAATTTTGAGAGTTTCGTTAGAGTTTTGAAATTTTCACCACCAGAACTTTAGTTTTGTAAGTACTTTAGAACCATTTAGAACCATGCATTGCCCAGGCCGAATTCATACCTCTCTTTTTCAGTACTTTAATAGCCCATTATTCTTTCATGGTTCTTCAACTCTTCCTGCCCCAAATTTATCCTGACCATCCTGTAGGAACGGTTAAGTCAAAGGCACTTGACAGGCTCAAGGTCAGTCAATGAAGAACTTCATGGCTGGGTGGCCTTTACGTTTCCTGCCGTCTTAGTTCAATACTCTTAATGGCTATGCTGCACAGTTCTTGAAAAAAGAGGCCAATCACCATCTCCCTTTGCTGTTTGCCAATTGCTTTCCATCCCTTCTCTGGAAAAATCCCAGCTCTGTTTGAAGCATGTCAAATCAATGTATTAATACCATGAGGTCCTAAGTAGACCTTGAGCTTTATGAAGTACTTTGAAAAAAGCATCTTTCTGTCTAGACACTTTGAGCAAATAACTCAAAGTAGGACACACGAGGAGGAGTAGCAGAGCCCAGCAGGACTCGTCCATACAAGAGGCAAGGCCAGATTGACGAATTCAGATAACGCTTCACAGGAGACATTAATGCTTCCCGGTTGGCATTTGGCTACAGATCCGGTGATAAAAGGGAAACTGAAAAAATGAGTGCTTCCGACAGGGAACAAATGGTTTGTGGGTCTCCAAATTGTAGGACTTGCGCTGGGAAGCTGCTCAGATGGTTGGTCATAAAATGTAGGGACAGGCCCCCCATGTTCTCTCTCAAAGGGTCACCAGGATATTTGTACTGTGTCTTTGAACCAAAGATACAGCTGCTCTCCTCAGCAACCAACTGGGAAATGGAGCAGTTACGGCTCTAGAAGAAAAGGGCATAGAATTGGCTTTGGGAATTAGACCAGATCGCTGCTCCTCTTGAAGACCGTCATAGGAATCCTTCAATAATATAAGACTCAGAAGTGGGGTGGGCAGATCAAAAGACAACCTGGCAAAATGGCACGACCTAAAAGAATCCCACACTTTGTGTGATTGTGGAGCAGAACAGACAACTCCGCAGCTGAATGCTTGTCCACTATGTCCTGCCTCATGTACAGAGGAAGAATTGTTGGAGGCTACAGACAATGCCATCGCTGTTGCCCATTTTTGGTCAAAAGATATTTAGCCACCTGTGCTCCTTCTATTTTTATTAGTTTTATACTATTTTATGCGATGCTTTTGATCTATATCAGGGGTCCTCAAACTAAGGCCCAGGGGCCAGATACGGTCCTCCAAGGTCATTTACCTGGCCCTCACTCAGGGTCAACCTAAGTCTGAAATGACTTGAAAGCATACAACAACAACAATCAGCCAAAAGCAGGCCCACACTTCCCATTGAAATACTAATAAGTTTAGATTTATGAAAATTGTTCTTCATTTTAATTATTGTATTGTTTTTGAGTGTTTTTGTGCACTACAAATAAGATACAGTATGTGCACTGTGCATAGGAATTCATTCATTTTTTTTTCAAATTATAATCCGGCCCTCTAACAGTTTGAGGGACTGTAACCTGGCCCTCTGTTTAAAAAGTTTGAGGACCCCTAATCTATATAAATAAAAATGTAATGTTCGTTTGTGGGATTAACATAACTCAAAAACCATTGGACGAATTGACACCAAATTTGGACACAATGCACCTATCAGGCCAACGAGTGACCATCACTCATGAAAACACCGAAAAACACAGCGGAAGGGGTTTAAAACGCCAAAAATTGAAAAATACATTACAACACATGTACAAAATTACATATATACGCAAACACACATATATACACATATACACAAATATATACACACATATACACATAACGTAAACATACAAAACACATATACACAGAATGGGCATGGCAGGGGACGACTAGTATGAAATAAATAAATAAGTCCCATTCTGGGTGAGAAGGGCGGCATATAAAGGTCGTAAATAAATAAATCTATATACATAAAATGTAATATTCGTTTGTGGGATTAATATAATTCAAAAAACACTGGACAAATTGACATGAAATTTGGACACAATACACCTATCAGGCCAATGAGTAACCATCACTCATAAAAACACTGAAAAATACAACAGAAGAGACTTAAAAAGCCAAAAAACAAACAAATACATTACAATGCATATGCAAAACCACATATGTACACAAACACACATATATACACACTAGCTGTCCCCTGTCACACGTTGCTGTGGCCCACATGGGGGTTCTGCGTGGGGGTTTGGCCCAATTCTATCGTTGGTGGGGTTCAGAATGCTCTGTGATTGTAGGTGAACTATAAATCCCAGCAACTACAAGTCCCAAATGTCAAGATTCTATTTTCCCCAAACTCCACCAGTGTTCACATTCAGGCATATTGAGTATTCGTGTAGAGTTTGGTCCAGATCCATCATTGTTTGAGTCCACAGTGATCTCTGGATGTAGATGAACTACAACTCCAAAACCAAAGGACACTGCCCACCAAACCTTTCCAGTATTTTCTGTTGATCATGGGAGAACTGTGTGCCAAGTTTGCTTCAATTTCATCATTGGTGGGGTTCAGAATGCTCTTTGATTGTTGGTGAGCTATGAATCCCAGCAACTACAACTCCCAAACGACAAACTCATTTTTTTTATTGAAGGACATACATTGGGTTGTTTGGTGTATGCTGTCCAAATTTGGTGTCATTTCCTCCAGTGGTTTTTGAGTTCTGTGAATCCCACAAACGAATATTACATTTTTATTTATATAGATATACACAAATATATACAGAAATATATACACACATATATGCACACACAAAACACATACACAGAAAGGGGGAAGGAACGAAGGATGGAGAGAAAGAGGGAAAGAAGGAGAGGTAGAGAAGGAAGGAAGGAGATACGGAAATAAAAAAGTGAAAGAGGGAAGGAAGGAGAGAAGGAACGAAAGAGAGAAAGAGAGAAGGAAGGAAGGAAGGAAGGAAGGAAGGAAGGAAGGAAGGAAGGAAGGAAGGAAGGAAGGAAGGAAAGAGATAAGGAAGGATGGGACCAAAGAGCAAAGGAAGTGAGAAAAGAAACAGGTAGAGAAGGAAGAAAGAAGAAGGGAAAGAAAAAGAGGGAAGGAAGGAAAGAGGGAGGGAAGGAAGGAGAAAAAGAAAGAAGGAGAGAAAGAGGGAGGGAGGGAGGGAGGGAGGGAGGGAGGGAGGGAGGGAGGGAGGGAAGGAAGGAAGGAAGGAAGGAAGGAAGGAAGGAAGGAAGGAAAGAGATAAAGAAGGATGGGACCAAAGAACAAAGGAAGTGAGAAAAGAAACAGGTAGAGAAGGAAGAAAGAAGAAGGGAAAGAAAAATGGGAAGGATGGAAAGAGGAAGGGAAGGAATGTGAAAAAGAAAGAAGGAGAGAAAGAGGGAGGGAAGGTTTGCCACAGTAACGCGTGGTGGGTACAGCTAGTAAATAAATAAATAAATATCTAAGTAGAGCACAGACTTATTAATAACTTCCTGACTGTTTGACCTACATGCCATGGATTTCTGTTGCCCTTATTGCTGCTTGGGAAAAAAAAAAACAAATCGCAACACTCGCTGAAATGAATGTAAAGTTGATATAAATTTTACAAAATAAGGCCTGAAATCCCACCCTGAATGAGTTCTCTCCTCTAATGAAGAAGCCTGGGAGTGAAGGAGATAAGACGCTCTGGGATCAAGGTGACCAGTGCCCAGGAGGCTCAAGCTCAACCCTGCTTCAAAAGCAGTGATACAACTTAGAAGTTACGCATTCAAAGAAGAATCTCTTGAAGTTCATGCAAGCCCTTGAGCATACACAGAGCAGCTTTTGGGACTGTGGCCAATCTCTGGGGAGAAAAAAGTGGCTCCCAGCTTCCAAATGGACTAATTACATGAGCCTGGATCCAACCAAACTTGAACTCCAAAGCACAATTTGGTGTGCATTGTTCCCATCTGCCATCCCATCTGTCCTACAGCCATACAATGGAGCCCCCTTGCAGACAGTTCACATACCTGTACATGTCCGGCAGTTTGAGCGGCAGTTTTCACATCGCACCGGTTCCTTGATCAAGTACATGCCTGCTTTGCATCCCATAACACAGCTGTTGTCCACGAGGCTGTCAACGAAATAAGTGGAACAGATGGAAGAACATTTGCAGCAAAGATGACAAACATGTCAACACTTTGTGAGTCTCCCGAGCCACAATAACACTTAAAATCCCTCCTGGACAGAGTGGCATTTCCTGCGCAATGTGGGGCATCTCTGCTGCCCTAGAAGAGGAAGAAGCACAGCAACTTAAGTTGCTGAATAACTTTGTGTACTTTCCCTATCGAGGACACATGTTCTTTTCTGCAGGCATTGTCTCTCACCCACACGTACAGCATGCAGTCTATTAAGATCCTGGTCTCTGGCTATCTCTTTACCTGCTCTGGCAATATCTCTTTTTATGCCCAAACAAACCTACCCAACACAAACTAATAAAAATTCTTTAAAATTTAAATGTATCAAGGGAAAAATGGCTCCGGTCTGCTCCTGAAGAGTTTTCCTGATAGTATCTTCAGGGGCCACTGAAAAAGAGCTAATATCACAACACAAATTAATCTTTTGCTTAATCAAAAGGGGAAAAGGAGTCAAAACTCTCAAACTCAAGGAAAGGGATAAAGGTGTTCTTAAAATACATAAGCAGACATTTTACTCAAAGAGCAACATTTTAGGATAGATATAAAATGCCATATGATCCAGTTCCTGAATCCAGGTTATCTGATTTGAACTGGATTATAGTAAAGTAAAGGTAGAGGCTTCCCCTACATTCAGTTGTGTCCGACTCTAGGGGGTGCTGCTCATCTCAATTTCTAAGATGAAGAGCCGGTGTTGTCCATAGACACCTCCTAGGTCATGTGGCCAACATGACTGCATGGAGCACCATTACCTTCCTGCAGAAGCGGTACCTATTCATCTACTCACATTTGCATGTTTTTGAATTGTTAGGTTGGCAGAAGCTGAGCCTAACAATGGGAGCTCACCCCGCTCCCCGTGTTCGAACCGCTGACCTTTCAGTCAGCAAGTTCAGCAGCTCAGGGGTTTAATCTGCTGTGCCACTGGAGGGCCCCTGGAACTGGATTATATAACAACAACAACAACAACAACACTTTATTTATAGTGCGCCTTCTCTCCCTGGCGGGACAAGTCTACACTGCCATATAATCCAGTTCAAAGCAGATAATCTGGATTCAGAAACAGAATTAGATGGCAGTGTAGATGAGGCCTTAGAAGTAAGAAAGCCATTGCACTCTAGTTAATTATACCATCTTGAACGATCATCTGCACTTTAAGAACCTTAGGAAAACTCCTCCGACAGCGCTTAACAGCTACCACTCATGACATTGCCCTGGCAATTGTTAATTTTGTTGTTGATTGCTTATGGTGGAGAGTGGGAACGGAATAGATCTGTAAGATCTGAGTTTAACAAAGCAGGAGTGGAAAGTGGATGGAAGGTAGGACTATGGCAATCTGAAGCCACAACATATCATATAGTTAATAATGAATTGTTTGTTGATACTGTGGCCGTTCAATGCGTCATGGAGGAGGGAGAGGGTTCCGCTAACCGGGGAGCCCCCATAGAAGTCGTGGTGGGGAGGGGGAGATACGGGAAAGGGAGACCTTTAATTCGACCTAGGGAACGGGGGCGGGGAACAACGTTAGTAATTCCAAAGCGGTCTCCTGATATGACAAGTTGGTGTAACCAGGATGGCGGTCCCTCCGGATTGAAAGTGGTGCTGTTGAACGCCAGATCTGTCAACGGTAAAACAACTTTCATCCAGGATTTAATCCTGGATGAACGGGCAGATCTGGCGTGCATCACAGAGACCTGGTTGGACGAAGCGGGAGGTGTAAATTTAACCCAGCTTTGCCCACCAGGCTTCTCTGTGCAGCACCAGCCGAGATCCGGAGGGCGGGGAGGCGGAGTTGCAGTGGTCTACAGAGATTCCATTCTTCTGACCAGGGCCCCCATCCCGCAGTCAACAAATTTTGAATGCGTCCACCTGAGGGTGGGTGACCGGGACAGATTAGGGATTCTGTTAGTGTACCGTCCACCTCGCTGCACTACTGACTCCCTGACTGAGCTAGCGGGGGTGGTCTCGGACCTGGCGTTGGAGTCCCAACGGCTGCTTGTGCTGGGGGACTTCAATGTCCATGCCGAGGTCGCCCTATCAGGAGCAGCTCAGGACTTCATGTCTACCATGGCAACCATGGGGCTGTCCCAACAGGTATCTGGCCCCACCCACAGTGCTGGACATACATTGGACTTGGTTTTCTGCCAGGGATGGGAGGAAGGTGGCGGTGTTGAGGAGTTATCCATCTCTCCGTTGCCATGGACCGACCACCACCTGGTCAGCTTTAGACTCACTGCACCCCCTAACCTCCGCAGAGGTGGAGGACCCATTAAGTTGGTCCGCCCCAGGAGGCTTATGGATCCGGATGGATTCCTGATGGCTCTTGGGGAATTTCCCGCCACTTCGGTTGGTGATCCTGTTGATGCTCTGGTCGCTCTCTGGAATGGGGAGATGACTAGGGCAATAGACACGATCGCTCCAGAACGTCCCCTCTCAAGTAGCCGAGCTAAACCAGCTCCTTGGTTTACCGAGGAGCTGGCAGCGTTGAAGCGAAAGAAGAGGGAACTAGAGAGCGTGTGGCGTTCGAATCCGGGCGAGCCAAATCGAACACGGTTTGTGTCCTTTTTAAGGGCATATGCCGCGGCAATAAAGGCCGCAAAGAAAACTTTCTTTGCGGCCACTATTGCGTCTGCAAAGAACCGTCCGGCTGAACTGTTCCGAGTTGTCAGAGGCCTATTAAAACCCTCCACTCAGGATGGGTGCCCTGATGACTCGGCAGCTCGCTGTGAAGCTTTTGCTCGGTTCTTCGCAGACAAAGTCGCTTTGATCTGCTCTGGACTGGACACCATATTAACGGCAGTATCTGAGGATGTAACACGAGCATCTGCTTGTCCGGTTTTGATGGATTCATTTCAATTGGTTCAATCCGAGGATGTGGACAAGGTGCTTGGAGGAATGAGAGCTACCACATGCATCCTAGACCCCTGCCCATCCTGGCTTCTAAAGGAGGCCAGAGGGGGATTGGCCGAGTGGGTGAAGGTGGTGGTTAATGCCTCCCTTCGGGAGGCAAAATTCCAGCCAGCTTAAAGCAAGCTGTGATAAAACCGCTGTTGAAGAAACCATCACTGGACCCCACTCAATTCGTCAACTATCGGCCTGTTTCCAATCTCCCCTTTTTGGGCAAAGTCATGGAACGTGTGGTGGCCTCACAACTCCAGGCATTCTTGGTAGACACGGATTATCTGGATCCAGCACAGTCTGGCTTTAGGCCGGGGCATGGTACTGAGACAGCCTTGGTCGCCTTAGTGGATGATCTGCGTCGGGAGCTCGACAGGGGGAGTGTGTCCCTGTTGGTGCTTCTCGACCTCTCAGCGGCCTTCGATACCGTCGACCACGGTATCCTTCTGGGACGCCTCGCGGGGATGGGTTTGGGAGGTACTGTTCTGCAGTGGCTCCACTCATTCCTCGAGGGTCGGTCTCAGAAGGTGTTACTGGGAGACTCCTGTTCAACCCCACAACCTTTGTCTTGTGGGGTTCCTCAGGGTTCAATACTGTCTCCCATGTTGTTTAACATCTACATGAAGCCGCTGGGCGAGATCATCCGGAGTTTCGGAGTGAGATGTCATCTGTACGCAGATGATGTCCAGCTCTGTCACTCCTTTCCACCTGCTACTAAGGAGGCTGTCGAGGTCCTGAACCGGTGCTTGGCCGCTGTGACGGTCTGGATGGGGGCGAACAAATTGAAATTGAATCCAGACAAGACAGAGGTACTCCTGGTTAGTTGTAAGACCGAACAGGGTATAGGATTACAGCCTGTGTTGGATGGGGTCGCACTCCCCCTGAAGACACAGGTTCGCAGTTTGGGTGTGATCCTGGACTCATCGCTGAGCCTGGAACCCCAGGTTTCGGCGGTGACCAGGGGAGCATTCGCAATTAAAACTTGTGCGCCAACTGCGACCGTACCTTGGGAAGTCTGACTTAGCCACGGTAGTCCATGCTCTGGTTACATCCCGCCTTGATTACTGCAACGCTCTCTACGTGGGGTTGCCTTTGAAGACAGCCCGGAAGCTCCAACTAGTCCAACGGGCGGCAGCCATGGTACTAACAGGAGCGGGGCGCTGGGAGCACACAACTCCCTTGCTGCACCAGCTCCACTGGCTGCCGATATGCTACCGGGCTCAATTCAAAGTGCTGGCGTTGGCCTTTAAAGCCCTAAACGGTTCTGGCCCAACTTATCTATCCGAACGTATCTCAGCCTATCAGCCCACCAGGACCCTAAGATCTTCTGGAGAGTCCCTGCTCTCTATCCCGCCGGCTTCCCAAGCGCGGCTGGTGGGAACCAGAGACAGGGCTTTTTCTGTGGTGGCCCCTCGGCTTTGGAACACCCTCCCTATAGAGATACGATCAGCCTCTTCGCTGATGGTGTTTCGGAAGAGATTAAAAACATGGTTGTGTAAACAAGCATTCGGTTAGTTTGTTATCACCGAATTTTATGGACTAAGGACTGGTTAATTATGGATGACGAATTCTGGACTGTGATTTTAGTGACGAGATACATGGTATTATTATTGGTGGCCCAATAATTTGTATTGTCTATGTGTTGTTGTTTTAAATTGTATTGTTTTTAATTGTTGTAAACCGCAATGAGTCGCCGACTTAGGCTGAGATATTAGCGGTATACAAGTGTATTAAATAAATAAATTAAATAAATAAATTAAGAAACTCTGGAAATAAAAGAGAGGAAGGCTAAGGGCAAAGGAAAGGAGAAGATATCACAGAGACTTGGATTAGATCTATACTGCCATCTAAAATACTGCTTATCTGCTTTGAATTTATTTATTATTTATTCATTTACTTTATTTGTATACCGCTCTTCTCAGTCCTTAGGCGACTCAGAGCAGTTTACAACAATTTAGGTATACACAATACAAAATCATTAAGCATTTAAAAGCAATAGCACCACAAATCATTAAACATCTGCATTATATGGCACTGTAGACTC